TTCGGATGGCTCGTCACGAGCCTCTTCATCTGGTGGATGATCACACCTTTGAGCTGGCTGGAAAGTCTTATGTGTGCTGCTTGCGTCACGGCTACGGATCCAGTCTTGGCTTCATCTGTGGTTGGCAAAGGTAAATTCGCAAAACGAGTGCCAAAGCATCTTCGAGACTTGCTGTCTGCTGAGTCGGGATGTAATGATGGCATGGCATTTCCGTTCATCTATCTGTCCTTCTACTTGATCCACTACCGCCCGAATGCTAATGAAGTTGCATATCACTGGTTTTGCGAGACGATCTTATACGAGTGCGTCTTCGGTGCTACATATGGAGTCCTTATCGGCTATATTGGCCGCCACATGATCAAATGGGCAGACAGAAGAGGATTGATTGACAGGGAAAGCTTCTTGGTGTTCTACTTCGTCCTCGCTCTGTTCTGTGCCGGTACTGGAGCCACACTTGGCACCGATGATCTACTTGTTGGCTTTGCGGCTGGGGTTGGATTTAGCAACGATGGATGGTTTACGGAGAAGACCGAAGAATCACATGTTTCCAACGTCATTGATTTATTACTCAATTTAGCATATTTTGTCTATTTGGGCTCCATCATACCTTGGCAGCAATACAATGCACCGCTACTTGGCCTGACCCCGTGGAGACTTGTTGTCATTGCCATCTTCGTCATCTTCTTCCGACGGATACCCATCATGCTGGCGCTCAAGCCCCTAATTCCGGACATCAAGACTTGGAGAGAAGCATTATTTGCTGGTCACTTTGGTCCAATTGGCGTGGGTGCCATCTTCGCAGCTATTCTCGCAAGAGCAGAACTGGAGACCGATACCACTACGCCTCTGGGTGTTGTACCAACAAATCCGGATACCGAGAACTATCTCGTTGTCCAAATCATCTGGCCACTTACTACCTTCTTGGTCATAACTTCAATCCTCGTTCATGGATCATCCATTGCTGTGTTCACCCTCGGAAAGCGCATCAACACTCTGACGCTCACAATGTCCTACACCCAAGCCAATGAAGATGGTCCATCATGGATGAATAGACTCCCAAGAATTCAATCTACTTCGAAGGCCTCGATGTCAAAGAACAAAGACGACTTGGCGAGCGAGGACTCTTCGAACGAAAAGCTTCCAGAGTATGCACCGGGAACGTTACCGCCGATTGGAGTTCCAGGCAACTTTCTCCGCCGACAAAAGGAAGAGGACACTCCCATTGAAAAGCCTCGACCAACTCGAAGAAGGTCAAGATGGGAATCTGGCATGGGTCCAGGTGGGCCGATCAGTCAGTCTGCAATTGCGCCACAACGGAGAACAGGCATTACGAGTCCTAGTGAGAGCGTGGACGATACCCTCAACGAGAAGGACAGCCCATCCGGTAGCGGAGAAAGCGATGGACCTCCCGACCAGCTCGAGATGGAAGACGCCCAGGAGAAGCGCGAAGAGAAGGAGGAGAGAAGTGGCTCTAAAGAGATTCGAGAACCAAAGGTTGAAGCATACGAAGAGGGTGACCAATTGGTTGTTGAAGACGAGGAAGGAGAAATCCTGGCCATTCACAACGTCAAAGGCGAATCCGATGACCAAAAGCGGCAGCACATTCTCGATGATGAGGCAGCCCTGCGGCAGGAAACGAGTGGTGAGCACGCCAAGGGCAAATTTCATCCACATGAGAGCAAAACAGAAGGCGAGGGGTTGGAGCAGATTCTTTCGGAAGGGGCCGGACATCCTGGCGAGACGTCAAAGAGGTTCTTGAAGAAGTTAGGCGACGGATGGGACGGATGGAGGGGAAAGGACAAGGAAAAGGAAGCCGCGGGCCCTTCAGACCCAAAGCCCAAGCCCAAGCCCAAGCTCAAGCCCACGCCGAAGGCCCCCGAGCATAAACGAGGCCCAGCCCACGCATATCAATTCGGCAATACTATCATCGTCGAAGATGAAGATGGCGAGGTCGTCAAGAAGTACGATCTCCCGCATCAGCCGAAACAAAGGGGTGGTGTCCGAGGAGGTGTGCAGGATGGCGCCGGCCATTTCAACGCGAAGCCAATGCTGAAACGCGCCGGTACATGGGTAGGCATCGGAGGAAAAGCCGAAGAAACACCTCAGGGTGAGTCGGCAGCAGAGGCGAGCGGCCAAGGAAAGAAAGGTCGAAAGCAAGCCTCCGTGGACACAGACGATGATCGCATCCGTTTCACTGCTGGTGGCCGCCGCTTGAGCAAGGCGGATTTCATCAAGCAAATCCAAGCTATGGATCCTAAAGCACAGGTGCAAGCTGTCGAAGAAAGCGATGCCCCCGAAGACGTCAAGCAAGAAGTTCGGGCTGGTGCAGGAGAGGCATTCGAGGACGCTCGCTCTTCGGCGAGATCACGACCGGATTCCAAGCGCGCTGCTGGACAACCAACAATGTCGCCTGTCGACGAAGGACACCAGTCAGACGAAGCAATGCCTGTGGTCAGAAGATTTAGTACTACTGAAGACAGACCAAAAGGCCCGGATGGTCTGACTTTGATCGACTCAAAAAATCAAGACATACCCTTCCACCCAGTCTCGGAAAGTATCCAAAAATATGGCGGGGAGGAAACCGCAGCCCAGCGGCGTCGGCGCCTTGCTCTCGCACGCAAAGATTCCGACGATGATGGAACGGAACGCGTCCCACCTCATACGACGGGTCCAGGTCCTCTGCTCAGAAATCCTATGTCAAGCGTAGGGGCATCTATGCCACAGGAGGAACCACAAGGCGAGACGGCAGCGGAACGAAGAAGACGATTAGCAGCTTTAGGCGAAGGCGATGAAGGAGAGCGTCAAGACAGCAGTGACAGTGAAGACGATGGTGGGGAGAGAAGACCAGCTACGGGACATACGCCTATGCCCGAACCGAGTGCCACTGAGGCTAGGAGACCGCCCGGTATTAGATTTGCGGATTCACCAGCTGTAAGTCAGGGGAGAGTGCAGTGGGGAGATGATGTAGGGAAGAAGGGGAGGAGATGATTGTGCATAAAAAGGGAGTTTAGCTCATGTTGCTTCTATGATAAGCATCTTAGCGGCATGATGGAAGTTTTGTGCGCTTTTATGGCAGAATTTCGTAGGTACTAGCACTCTGCATGATCACGATCTATCTAACGACGTTAGCTCAACGTCTTCAAGTGCGCTCCTCATCTCTCATCCCTGCCCCTCCGTTTGCTATCTCTGCCACCCTCTCCACTTCCGTCAAATGTTGAAGCAACTTTTCAGTCCGTCAACGACCATCACGCCTGAGCCAACTGAGAACATTTCGAAGGTTCTAGGCATTTCCGCCGTATCTTAATTGCTCCGGGTTCACCAGCCCATTCGGCCTTTGCGAGCGTTTCCGATCGCTGCGGGCCACAGGCCAATGTTGAATGGTCCGCGCCCGAAACTCTCCAGCGACCTTGCGGGTAGTCCCATACGTGTCCGCCCATACGTCTAGTCCCATACGTGTCCACCCGTATGCGTTCGTTCATGCAGTCCAGTCACACAGCGTCCATTCAAGCAGTCCGGTCACGCAGCCAGAGCCCTGACAGGGAATCGGGCACATCTCGTGATCTTTTTCCGCTTGCAGTGGGCTACTCCTACAGCACGTCTTGAGCTTGGTCGGCCGGTGGCCGGCTACACTTCTGCCGCATATGTCACCCCCAATCGAGCCGGCGCGAAACTTAATCTTTGTATAGGTTTGGATTGCTTTGAGGGACCCGGAGGGAGGAGTTGCAGGACAGGTGGCGCCCGGACCGTGCCATCCATCCATCCGCTGAGCCGACGCCGACATCGATCGCTGGACACTCCCGGGGCCGATTTGGGTAAGAGGGGAGGATGAGGACGAGGACGAGTACGGCTTCCCCGTGGACCCGGCGGACCGGCTGGGGATCGACCTGGAGGAGGGGGCTGGACAGGTCACTCGCTCAAGGCGACCACGACGGCAAATTGGGTACCCCGGACCATCACACCCTGGGCGCAGAGCCATCGGTGATGCTTCGAGTGTCGACGAATCTATGGTATGGTATGGTATCGGGGAGCCTGCCGATGCCTACCCTTCTCCCTGGGGGATGGGCGCCAAACGGTGCATCATTCCGGATGGATGGATCGCCATCTCTTTCGCCGGTAAAGTGGAGGATGTCCAGAAGAGCCCTATTGCCCATCTCGCCTCAGCTCTGCCAAGCCCGTGTGGGATACCGTTGCCTTTACTCGATTCTGGTGGTAATGCGTTACCAATAGGGTGGGTCCTGAGGGCCGCTTTCCGATGCTCTGTTCATGATTCGCAATCATGCAAGGCGGATATTGTTCGCGTCTCCGGCCAAAAATATTTCCCGACGTGGCTACATTATATCTCAAGGCTAGATCATATCACGGCACAGATGTGTGTTACTCGATGCTGAGTGATCGTGCTGCCCACTCAGTCCGCAGGCTCGCACGCTTGCGACTTCAGTGTGTGTGACGACGATCGCGATTCTGAATCACAAAAAGGAGAGACCGATCCCATTGATATCTGCTGAGACCGATTTGACGGGGATGAGATCCGAACGATGGTTGCGGAATCCATCTTCTCGTGTACCGAAAAGTTCATGGAGACAATGTTGCACAGTCTGAGCATGAAGAACGAAGGATGGCAGTGGTATCATGGTCTTGTTCCTCATCTTTCAATTGGACTGCCAGCTTCAGTCCTCCTCGTCAGTACTCTATTCTTCTCCCATAAACAATCACAGATCACAGATGGACCCCACATTGCTTAGTTCTCCCTCTGTAACTTAACCCACAACCTGACCTTCCACCCCCTCGCCCACATCCCTGGCCCGAAAACCTGGGCAGCAAGCCGCCTCCGCTTTGTCACCTCGCTAGCCCGGGCGAAGTTGGTCCACGACGTTTGCGCCATTCGTCAGGAATACGGTCCCATCGTGCGCCTTGCGCCCAACGGAGTCTCATTCGCCAGAGAAGACGCCTTCCACGATGTCTACGGCATCCGCCCCGGACACTCGCCATTGCCCAAAAACCTAACATTCTTCCCCTCCCCCCCCGCGGGGCCAGCCGCACATCATGGTCACAACCGCCAATGTCGCAGACCACGCGCGGATGCGCAAGGTGATGAATCGAGCTTTCTTGCCTTGGGCTTTGAGGGCGCAGGAGCCGACTGTCGAGGCCTCTGTCTCGCTGCTGGTGGAGAGGCTCAGAGAACAGGTCGCCCCGTCTCAGCACGATGACCCGGTCGTCGAAACAAACACGGTTGACCGGTACAGATACGTCGCTTTGGACATCGTTGGCGACCTTGGCTTCGGCGAGTCTTTCCAATGCCTCCAATCCGTTTGCCCGCACCCCTGGCTCGCTCTCATCTTCGCTTCCCTCAAAGGCATGCCCTTGGCGGCCGCCGCCCGCTATTAACCCCCCCGGGTCAAATTTCCCAGTCGTCAAGTACATCGTGCCGAAAAGCCCGCTCCGGATGACGAGTGATCACTCCCTACTCGCCCGCGGGAGAGTGTCACGCCGCATGGATCTGGGAAAGGAGCGTGTGGACTTCGTAACGCCGGTGTTTCGGCAGGGCGTACGGGCTGTTGGTGGGAATACCAATGATGGAGGCGGTCAGGGCCAACGAGGGCACGACCGTGGAGGCAGTCGAGTCGAGGACCTTTTCACTGCTCCTCATTCGCCGGCACCGAGACCGTCGGCACCACCCGAGCGGGCATCACCCCCCATCTCGTCCACTTCGCCCACGGTCCCGCACACCCCTGCAATCGGATATCCGCACCGCGTTCCCCGCCGAGGATCCGAGCATCTCTATCGCCCGCCGTCACGGACCTTGCATACCTCGACGCCGTTCGTCCACGAGGGCCATCCGCCTCTGCAAGCCCATCCCCGCGGGCCTCCCGCGCGTCGTGCCCCCCACTCCTACGGGCGATCCCGTCCGCGGTGTCTACCCCCCCGCCGGCACTCCCGTCTCGACCCATCCGTGGTCCATCAACAAACAACCCAACCAACTCTTCTGCACCCCGGAAGCCTTTTTGTCCCGGAGCGCTGGCTCCCCGGTTCCCCCCGAAATTCGATGGCGGCTCCGGAGGCGGGGATGGAGAGTGAAGGTGACGACGGGAGCAGGGGGGGAAGGAGGAGCAGGAGGAGCAGTCGACCATGCTATCGACCGGCCGAATGCGTAAACGACCGCCTCTTTGCTAGCTGGCTGTTCGGTGAGGGGAGCCGGGCGTGTATTGGCGATGGCGGAGATGCGCTTGGTGCTTGCGAGGTTGGGTTGGGCTTTTGGGATCGGGGGGCCTGTGTGGATTAGGTTGAGGGGGAGGAAGTGAGGGGGTGGTGGGTGGGGTTGGGCGATGGGATGGGGGTCCTTGATGGGAGAGGCGCTGGATGGATGGATAGGTTGTGTGTGTTGGTTGTTTTCGACTTGTGCGGTGTATTGTCTGGGACGTGTTCGGAGATTCAGGGTGATGAACGATTTTACAGGCTGAGGTGTTTTTTTTGGGATAATAATTTGTGAAGTCAAGGCCCCTCATACATTTCCCCAACCTTTCATCATATACTGATATCAACGTTGCCTGCCACATAGAACTCATGACATATCTATACGAACATCATCTGGCTATCTCAACCAATTACCCGTGAGGATCTCCAGGACGCAGCTCAGCATATGATTTTCCCGGCCAAATCTTGGAGTTCCCTCCGATCACGTCCTGCGACGAACGTACATCCGAATCGATACTCTTCACCACGCCACCACCCTACCCATGCAGAACGATGGGCAAGGGCGAGGCGATCCCGAATGCGGCGGCGCTCTGCACCTTGCGCTGGAGGTCTGCTATCTCGCCAAGCTCCAGATAGCCGTTCTCCTTTGATGCAGCGCGCGACTCTAGAGCTGGCCGACCGTAGCTACAGCATCTCCTGTCGCGGTGTTTGTTTGAGGAGGCGGAGTCTTTGGTGATGCGCGTTGGCCTTGACGGCGTTTGTGAGGCGAAGAGGTGTCGGCCTAGGGCAAAGATTGCCGGAGCGCAGGAGCAGATGATGGTCACTGAGACCTCGATTATGCTGGCAGGGGTTAGAAAAGTTGGGTTAGAAGTTATGGAGCGAGATGATGCTGTGGGGGATGGATTGGGGACGGACATTGCTATGAATATAATGGCCCCCATCCAGAACGTGTCGGTGGCGCCGTTGAGCTTGATGCGGTAGACCAAGCTAACCAGGCTAGCAACTAGAGCGCTGTTGCATGTCAGCCGTGTTAAGTACCTGCTGTCAATGATCACCCTATGCCATCAGGTACTCACATTCCTCCTGTTCCGAAAACGGCCAAGACTCCGAGTCTTTTACTCCTTCGCATTTGCAGCTTCCATACGATAGGTAGCGGTAACACCAATATCAGTATGTCAATAGCAACGTTGGACGCGCCTTGGATGATTGCGTACGTCTCCTGCTTCTCACACTCGGTCAAGGAAGCTGGAGATGCCCAAGACTTGCCAGGCAGTGGAGCGCAGAGGCCTACGTTAACCCCGACATAGCACCAGTACACGCCAAACATGAAGACAATAGTCGACCAGACGGTGTAGCGGAACCATTTCAAGGGCGCAAAAACTCGGAGGTAGAGGAGCAGGATGGAACACTTGGCGAAGAAAGTAGCGAGGCTGGAGAGCACGTCTCGAGCCAAGCGACCCCTGAAGTATTGTGTATCGACCCATATGGCGAGCACATCCCAAGTGTGTCTGGCGTATTTGTTGAGATAGAAGACCATGCTGATGTAGGCGGATAATATCACCACGGCCAGGAGGCAGGAATAGTCTTCGATGCCGGTCGAGCGCGTGACGAGTAGGGTGGAGTAGAGCCGCGCTGTGACTGCGAGGAAGGTGAAGACGAGCATCAAGACACCGATGGCAATTGTCACCCCCTCTAACGTTTGAGGGCCGTGTAGATTCGCGGTCACGCCTGGTGGAGGTGACGCTGCTGGTATCTCTGCTGGGTTCATGCCTGGAGGGAATGCTGCGGCCATGATGATAACAATGATTCAAGCACTCAGAAGTAGGGACGTGACGCAGCGTGAGGGTATCAGAAACTGGTTCCTTCGGGCTTTTTAGAATCCCTGAGCGCAAGATGCATGATGGGGGAAGATGCGAAGCCTAGCTGCGCCGTGCTCGTTGAAGGGATCTATGATGCTTTGGGTAAGGGTCGTTAGCTATGGCGCCAGGCCTGCTGGGATAACACTAGCGATCTCGCTGCCATCGGCATACATGTGTGGGTGTGTGTGGATTCCCTTGCTGCCCCACTTCCATACATGATGCTCGCATCCCGAAGCATCTTTCGTATTCGTGCATGCAAGGCACGCACCCGGTGCGAATCAGTGAAGAGTGTGAAAGCAGTTGGACCGGTTTTGTGCAGAAAATCGCCTTGGAAAACAGCAGCTTCGACATACAATTGAAAGAATCTTGTAACCCTTTTGATTATTGAAATAGTCGGATTCGATTTCTGCAGGGGTACCATGTGAGACGATAACTTTGAGCAGCAGCGGACCTGCATCGAAGGAAATCCCTCACACCCTGAGGGGCGAAAGCAGTCGGATCTCCGGTGTCATCTTCGTGGCACATAACTCACTGCACTCTGGAATACCTAGCCGAAAAGATAAGGCTCCATCTCCACGTCTTCCCGAACACGCAGCCTAGAGGCCTGCTGGGCGACCGGACTGCTTGCCGAGTCTACTAGACTTTGCCCAAGACGGTATCATCTAACGCACCTGTTGAGCCTTTCAGACGATACTCAAGCCTCTACTCCTCACTTGTCACTCCTCACTTTTCAGTCCTCACTGCCCTCACCTGAAGACACCATCTAGGCAGCGGACGAACGCTCTCAACATGCTCGGCTCCACAGTCGATACTACCGTGAATCAATGGTCGCTGAATCCTCTTGTTTCACTCGCCACTTCGATCTGCCCGGGTTCCTATCTTCTATGGAGACTCTGGAGCTTCACCGTAAAGCGATGGTTGCGGCCGGATGAACCAAAGCTATTGCCATATTGTATCCCCTTCCTCGGTACGTTAGACATGCCTACTGCTCCCAGCCTAAACGACTGACTGTCTGCTCAAGGCCATACCTACTATTTCGTGACTAACCCGGATCAACTTTTTTAAGACTGGATAGTAAGAAACACCGAAAACCACACAAAAGCACTTCACTGATAGGCCGCTAGTGTTTCTTTCCCTAAGGGAGAATCCTTCACACTCAGGCTTGGGTCGAAAAAGATGATCATACTAATAAGCAACCGGGATATAGCCACCACATGGAGAGACACGGCGGCGCTGACCTTCGACCCGGTTATACAGCAATTTATAACCACTCTCGATATATCAAAGAAGACCCAAGAAACCTTATTTCGAGAGAACCCAGCATCTATGGTGCAAAGAGAGAACAAGTTCGCCTCGCTCTTGGTCAAGGAAGATCCTATGCATCATGCATTCTGCCACCTCCAGATGGAATGGGTGAAGCAACAATTATCCGGAAATATGCTTGCAGATATTGGTGATAGCTTATTAGGTTACATCAATCAATCCCTTCGTCTAGCCCGATTTTCTCCAACCTTCATTCACACATCAACACGCTACTCAAAATCTGCGTCCCTGGAACATTGGGTCTGATACAGCCTAGTATTTTCGGCAACTAAAGCGTTATTTGGGAGTGAAATGCTGGAGGTTGATCCGCGCTTCCCTGAATTCTACTTCGGCTTCGAGGAAGCGGCATGGAAGATGTTTAATCAGTATCCGAGGTTCCTAGCAGGAGACCTATATGGGCCTGCCAAGAGCATACTGACCACCATGACCAGCTTTTACGATATTCCGCAGACAGACCGTCCGGACATGGTGTGGATGTGTAGAACAATAGAATTGGAGATGCGGCAGCTATCGCGTGATATCGCTATCATGTCATCCATGCTGTTCTGAGGGTAACGAAACAGCCTTTTCTACTTTTACTCATTTCTTAATCTCGTTACCTTCTTGCACTGCTGTTATTGCCGAATACAACCACTGACTCCTTCCGCACCTTAGCAGCAACAACAACGCCCACACCATCTGCTTCTGGACAATCTCCCACATCATCACCTCCCCATCGCTCCTCGCCTCCGTCCGCACTGAAACATCCAAAGCGTGCTCGCCCTCCGGCTCTGTCGACCTTACCATCCTAACCAACCACTGCCCTCAGCTAGACGCAATCTGGCACGAAGTCCTGCGCCTTTACACCGCTGTATCACTCATCCGCGTCGCCATCCAAAAGACATCTATCAACGGTAAGATCATCAACAAAGGCGATCAAGTGATGTCTCCCACACGCCAATCCCATCTGAACCGCGAACTCTTTGGCTCAGACGCGACCGAGCTCCACCCCGAGAGGTTCCTCAAGGACAAAAAGCTGGCGAACCAGAAGGGTTATCATCCTCTTGGTGGCGGGAATACGTACTGTCCTGGTCGATTCCTGGCCAAGCAGGAGGTCTATACTCTGGTTGCTTTGATGCTTTACCGTTTTGATATTGATGTCGAGGACGGTAGTTTGCCGACCGTTAATGCAGCGGAGCCGAGTTTGGGCGCTATGCGCCCGATGGGTAATATCAGAGTCAAAGTGAGCGCGAGAAAGCTGTAGATGTCAGGTGGTGCTGGAGGACGGCTGGTATCATCGCGATAGCAGTTTATGTTGGTAATTCAAATGACTAGGCGCTTGATGTAATACATCGCAGACATTTGATACTCAAAACACATCTTCACAAACACGAAGAGAAAGAAAATCATGCACGCCGTCGCATCCGACTGGCAATATCCCTCGCCACATGAATCTGCCCATACAAATCCGCCACATCAACAAACAGCCCCCGCACGGTCCTCACCCGCCCTGACCACAGAAACCTCGCATCCATCGGGCTGGGCTGGTGGTTGTTCGACAATGTCCACGTCGACGGGGTATACTCCAGGTACTCATCTTTCGCCATGTCTGTTCGTGGAAACATGTCTAGTCTGCCACGCTTGAGCTGTGGGTAGAAGAGATATCCTTCGATGATGGAGGCGTGCATCAACCAGTCGGCGTTCGAGGAGAAGAGCGGTAGTTTGGAGAAGAATTGCGCAAACTTCGATACTTTGGATGCGGAAATGGAGGCTAGGCTAAGGACTGGGTCTTCCCATGGTCGATCCAGAGAGGTTCTTGCTTCACGAGGAGGTTGTTCATGATTGTCCGGACGGAACCTCCACCTGCTTCGACAGCTACCGAGACGTCGGTTCCTAGTGTCCGGAGCCATGGAAGAGACGATAGCTTTGTCAGGGTCAACACAGCGTATGTTGTCATTTGGGCAGATTCACGGTGGTTTTCTATGCTCTACAGCGTGCGGATAGCGATTTGAGTTAGGATTATCGGTACTCGGTCCCTGAACAGTTCCTCACAGACCCCGTTGAGGCTTCCGTCCTGCCACAGCTCAAGCATCCGCACAAGTGCCTGGGTTAGGAGCATTTTCGAGTATTGGGGCGAGGGATTCTGGGACAGATGTCAGCCGAGTCCGGCAACTAGAATGTGGTTAGTTGGTCTAATAGCATACCCATTTGTCGTTCACTTCTCCCTGGTACCATAATTTGCATAGGATGTTTGCGGCTTTGTAAATTTGGGCTACGTATCCTCCCCACTTTGGCGCATAGAGCAGTGCATTCAAGATATTGCAATTGGCACTGAACTTGGGATCTCGCTCCCATGCAAATGTTTTGCAGTGGTGGTCAGCCTCAAAGATAGCTATCATACGATCTGGTGGCGTTGCACGGCCTAGCAGATTGAGTGACAGAGTTGTTTTCGCTGTATCGTCTGCATCTTCCAAGAATTTTGGCGCTAGGTATTGTCTGTTAATCTTTCTATCCATAGTTCACATGAAGTACACTCTTACCGAAACCAAGGACTCTGCTCCCAGCCTGCAACTGCCCCTTAAGAAAATTTGCCAGCTGACTGATACTGCTGGCGTCGAGGGAAATGGTCACTGAAGAAGAAGCGTTGAAATTGACGATAGAAGAATCAGAGTCGGTCGCAACAAATACCAGGCTGTATACAGGAGCTCACTCACCCAACAAACCATAAAAGTGGTGGTGGGATAAGCACTCGGGAGTCCCCCGAGATCACGAACTCCTCCCGAAGTTATCACCATTGACAGATGATCCTCCGCAGCGACATCCCAGTTCGAAGCGTGCATCAAATACGTTGCAGTCGACGAAGGCGAACCTAACATACTGCCTCCAACTTTGTGATGACCCACACGGTCAAAGTCAGGCTTCCCGAAAAAAGCCTCCAAAGAGTGGGGTCAAGTGCAGCTGGCTCTGCCGTAAAGCATTCAGAGGTCGAAACTAGCAGGAGTAGATGCGGACGTCGAGAACTTGCGAGGACCTTACTACCTCGACACGATACTGCGCAGCAATCTCCACACCGGATCGCTGAACCAAAAGACGATGCCGAAGCTTCAAGCATATGTTGATCTGGTACGACAAGAGCTCGAACACACCACACAGGCGAAAATGCCTGTAGCGCAGGACTGAACGGAGGTGCCGATTGGTCATCGCCTTTTGCGCATCCTCGCACGCGTATCGGCGAGATTCATTGTGGGTCTCCACTCTGCCGGAATGATGAATGGCTTCGAGTCTCCACGGTGGTCGGCGTCAACGTATTCACGATAGTTCCGTTTCTTCGCGTGCATCCGCCATTCCTGCGTCCTCTGCACCCTCTCATCGTGCGTTGTCTACCAACGTGGTATAAACTGCACGAAAACCTGCGCGTTGCGAGAAAGTTGATAGCACCAATACCAACAGAGTATAGTGGAGATAGCCACGATGAAAAGTCAAACGGCAATGATACTGCATCGCCGCTCTTGACATGGACGTACGAGGACGCGTTCAACGACCTCGAGAGAGACCCGGTCAATCTAGCTCATCGAATGATTTTCCTTGGACTTGGATCCATTCACACCACGGGCTCGCAGACAGCCCATGCCATTCATGATCTGGCCGCCCGGCCGGAGCTCGTGAAATCTCTGAATGAAGAAATAGAGAAAGTGAGAACAGCCGAGAAGGGCTGGGAGAAAGCCGCTTTAGTAAAAATGTGGAGACTGGACTCCTTCATGTCCGAGTCCAAACGGATGAACCCACCTGCTTTGAGTAAGATCATTTGTCTCTTTCCTCCCAACATACATGATCACGCACAACAGCCGTCTTTCACCGCCTAGCAATGGAGCTACTAGTCCTCTTCGATGGCACTCGCATCCTAAAAGGCACTTTCATAGCTGTTGCCGCTGCATCGATCCTCCTAGACCCAGACGTTGTCCGAGATCCCTAAAGATACGACGCTTTTCGCAAGTATGGTAAGCGCCTCGAGGCTGGAGAGAGCGCTCGCAACTAGTACGCTATTGTGGACAGAGAGCACATATATTTTGGAACGGGCGCCATGCTTGTCCAGGACTTGCTCTGGCTGAAAATGAGCTCAAATTGGTCATCGGTGCTTTCCTGATGCATTACGATCTTAAATACCCGATGGGCAAGGTAAGGCCGGTGAAAAAGACGGTGGACGAGATTGTAGTTGCTGATCCCGAGGCTACGGTTTTGATCAGAAGACGGAACTAAAGACGCTAATTAGCATATAGTCCAGTTTTCAGAATACATGATGCATAGGGTTTTCCTTGATTGAGAGTGAGGCAGCCTTCTTCTCTCCTCGCACAAAAGATGTCAGGTTTTCTCGAAATAACGTTTCTTAGGTCTTCTTTAACATATCAAGAGCGATCATTAATTGCTATACAAACGGGTCAAAGGTCAGCGTCGCCTCCACAGCGCTTTTATATTCCACCGTAAACGCGAAGACCCGATCTTTTCAGCTTCACTCTATAATGTGGGAGAGTGCAGCAAAGTTCACACATAGAGGGAAACCCAGAATCATCAATCCTCAAGGAAACAAAGCTCTTTTTCTACTCACTTGTTCACATTTTTGTGGATATCGGCAAGAACATATCGGTACTTCCTATCAAAGAACAATGAATAGAAAGACTTGAACGCATTAAAAACAGTACTCTCGCAGGTACAACAACGGTTTTTAGGAAACGTTCGCGAGAATCGCTATCGTTTTCCGGCAAGGCGCCTGGACTGTAGGACCTCATTAATTCGTTTAGGATTTTCACTCTCTATGCATGACTTTTGCTACAATCTTTTAGCTGTAGAAGCTTTGAGTCAGGCTGGTCGTCGTAACTGCGTTAGATTCATAATCAATGTCAGCGAATCCAAGTTGACATGTACTCCAACGTCTGGACCAAATAGGGAAACTCGATCGCTAATCATGACATTTCTTGAAGGGTGGAGATTTTCGGCTCAGCCCATCTGTCAAGTCGCATCCTTTTCCTTACGCTTAGGTTTGGATCAATTAAGTATGTGAAGTCAGTCATGAAGAAGACTGTTGTTAGTAAGATTGTTTTTTCAATGTTTGAGTTGAGGAGGAAGGAGAAGTGTTTTCTTGGTTCTCTGGGTCGGAGGAGGAATCTTCTTTCGAGGTCATGGGGAAGAAGGTCTGGAGGCACTGACAGGAGCACATAGATTTTTGGCAGGATCAGATACATGTATGTACTTCACTAGTGCGAGATACCAAGGTTCTCAGCAAAACCCCAACGGTAAGCCCTAATCGATAACCGGCCAAAGCGGGCCGAAAATGCGGAGTCGGCGATTACGCGATCTTCTGCCGTCATCGATCCTTATAAGATATTGATTTCAAAGCAACTCCTCCATCTCCATCACTCATTCATTATACACCACTGAATGTTTAGATCAGTCCAACGAGCTGCTCAACTATCATCTCATCTCAAAGCCAGGACGCCAATTGACAAAGTTAGGAACCTCAATATCCTACCAAAGACGCCCAACATGTCGCACCTCTTCGAAGCCGACACGCCGGATGAGGTGAAGAATGCCAAGGTGAGCGATTCAAGGAATTCAATTGGGAGCTCTGGCAGTATTGAGAATGGACTGGGCTCATAGTGGGCATATAGGGTCTTCATCTCGTCACCATGAGCACGCCCAATGGACAGAAAGTCCAGATCATGCTCGAGGAGCTACATGAGGTCTATGGCACTGAATGGACACAAACCATTATGTAAGTTGCTCTCTCAATATCTTCATCTTCCCCGAAGGCCCTTCGACAATCCAGTGAAAACGCGATTGACTAAAGTGCGTCCCCGCCAGTAACATCATGACCAATGAGCAAAAAAAAGACTGGTTCCTCCGCCTCGATCCCAATGGCCGCATCCCCATCCTCATCGACCACACCCAATCACCTCCCTTCCCCGTCATGGAGACATCGGCTGAGCTCTTATACCTTCTGAAGTTCGCGGATAAGAATGATGTATTTGGGTTCAAAGATGAACTGGAGAGGAGCCAGGCATTGCAGTGGTTGTTCTTTTGGCATGGGAGTGGGGCGCCGTACCAGGGCCAAGTGAACCATTTTGCCAAGTTTGCTAAGGAGAAGATCCCTTGTGCGTATACCTTGTTTTGCATTCTGCATACCCTACACCTCCCTCTGCCCATTGAGAAGCATGACATGTTGACGCTACTGTCGAAACACAGACGCCATCGACCGTTTCCGAAACGAAACGCTCCGCGTCTACGGTGTACTCGAAATTCAACTGAGCGGCAAGTACACCGGCGAGCCTCGCGAGTACTTGGCCGGTAACGGCAAAGGCAAATACTCGATCGCTGATATTGGAACCTGGCCTTGGGTTAATGCGTGGGAGTTCAGTGGGTTCAGCAAGGAAGAAATGGAGCCATTCCCACATCTCCTGAAGTGGATTGACCGTATTGCCGAGCGGCCGGCCGTCAAAAAGGGAACGAGCGAGAAGTACAAACAGTAGTGAGGCGTTGAGTGAAAGCTGGGAAGGTGAAGGGTGGTTGCAAACAAATCAGACCATTTGTACTTCAACTGTTCTTGCATTGTCCGATTACGGTTAGGAGTAGACTTACATCAACCGACTCCCCTGTATTCGTCACGAGTTGCACTTTCATGCCTTTTCCTAGCTACTTCCCTTCGCATAAGATTTCTTCTCTACCCGACTTGCCATATCCTACGGACGTTCTCTTCGCTCACGAATGCCTTTGTCTCCGCAAAATGAAATCTCGCCTTCCTCAGAAAACTCTTTCCGCCCAAGGCTCCCATCGACACCGCCACAGAACTAGTCGGCCAGTCATGGACGCCACCCTGTCTCGCTTATTGTACCTTACTAGGCACCTCAAGAATTGGCAAAGATCTGGTGCAATGGTCAGCTAGCGAACGTGGTTTTTCGGACCTCGGACCCTATTCCTTCATTGGGTGACCACAGTCTTGCTGCACCGAAGCCTCCACAATTCCAAGGGTGTCGGAAAGCTGTGCTTTTATCATGGAAGTATTATAAGCTTGTGATTCTCCACTGACCATTCACACATCATGTTCGCATGTCGCACGTCAACAGACGAAATGGTACGAAAACGGGATTGCCTCGTCTTCTTTCAACGAGTATGACCCCCTACTATATATACTACTATGCCCCTCACATCCTCAATCCAAAATCTGGAACGGGAACACCTCTAAGAAGAAAACCACGAACAATACCCAACAAAGATGAAAGTCTTAGTCAAGAACCGTACATCACCCCGCCACCCAAACCCTTCCCGCCCCCACCCCTCCCCCGATTTCACTGACTGAACTCCCTCGAACCCCTAGTCGGCGGTCGCCCGCTCAAACTCGAGCTCGACATCTCGCCCCAGGACACGGTCGCCAGTCTCAAAGCGCAGGTCGAGGCGGCGGACGGCGTCCTCCATTACCAGCAGAAGCTCTGCTGGGGCGGCAAGCAGCTCCAAGACCTCGGCGCCAAGCTGGAAAGCTACGGCATGCGCGACGCCGGGGACGGCAAGGTTCACAAGATAGGCCTGCTCCGGACGTACCCGCCTCCGGATTGGATCCCGTTTCAGCTTGGTAGGTGCATCGTTTACTTGGAGTCATCGGGTTCTTTTCTTATATAATGCCTTGAGTATGCTTGCTTGCTGTACGATGATCATGAACACGTACATCCACCCCTTCTTCTTCCCCTTCTTCTTCTCCTTCTCACTCTCTTCCGAACCCCCCCGCAGAAGTCCGCACCCGCCCCGCCTACTTCATGATCGAAGTCAAGCCCCGCGACACCATGGAGGCCGTCAAGGAGACCATCCAGCGCGCCAAGGGCTGGAAGGCCTCCGAGCTGCTCCTGCTCTTCGACGACGCCACCACCGTCAAGGGCAACCACTTCGACGAGTCCTCCTCCCTGATGCTGTACGCGAAGCCGGGGTCGCAGTGCTACGGGGAGCTCGGCGGCGCCGTCGGGGCGGTGGGGAGCGATGAGGATGAGGATGAGGATGAGGATGAGAATGAGGGCAGCAGTGGAGGGAGTGGTGGTGGTGTTGGGGTGGGTGGGGATGGCGGGGAGGAGAGCGATGTTAGCGATGAGGATGAGACGGAAGAGGAGGCGGCGGAGCGGGAGAGACGGAGGGGGAGGTAGAGGGAGGTGTGGGCGGAGAAATGTGTGCTAGTCATGAACACGCTTGGTGAGTGATGGGCGGGGATGGAAGAGAGATGGCGTGAGTCGAGAATATCGTCCTCTGTCGACCCTATCCAAGTCCTGAGATTCTTGATTGAAACTCGAGTTTAAGCCTAGCATGATGGAAGATGAAATAGAGATCTTAGGAAATCGCAGTGTGACACCACACTTTCGAGTCCTCTTTCGCTTTCATCCGCGCCCGTGCCCGCGGTTTCACATGAGACCAAATTCGTGCTTTTCAACGATGGATGTTCGCAAGATCTAGCGGGGACGACTCGGTCGGAGAGATCTCACAGTAGATTTTACGAATCAGATGTGGGATCGTGTGCAGGCTTGGGCGGAGAGCATTGACAAATGGGTGGACGGCTCATCAGACTTGGGGGTTTTGAGGAGGTGGATGGGAAATTGGCGGGGCAGGTGAAAGGGTAAGCTTTGAAGCCTTTTCATTTCCATTCGTCGTCGGTCTTTGGACGATTCGAATTGGAGGTAGAACGGTTGCGATGGTGCCTCTGGTGTACGCAGCAGCTGAATTGTTGACGAACGCGAGTCCTTTCAACGACCTCTCGATACTAATGGTAGAAGAAAGCGAGGTAGGTACCTAAAGAACCGTGATCAAGGTAGCTTTGGAGTTGGTGCTGGAATTTGTCCCAACTTCTGATTGGCTGATATACACGGCCTGCTTTTAGACGAAGACTTCAAAATGTTCGTGCGACATGCTCGGACCTCCGTTTATTTTGGTATTCTGCGTCACTCTTGCGCCATAGGTGCAAGCTCAGTCTTATGATATTGTCATACCCGAGGTAGACGTGTTGGACAGGGTACTACTACGTCCTACGGGGAGTTAATCAGTATTGGAAAGGTTTGAGGTACGTCGCGGTAGACCTCAATCTCCCCGAGTGAAGGTGGTATGTGTTGGAATTAGGATTTGGGATTGAGAGACTCTGGTTGATTGAATACCTTCAAGTCATTCTTGGAGCATATCCTGTATACAGTAGACATCCAGTGATTGATCGATCGAACAACTGGCCGAAGAAGGCTTGAAACCAGCAATTCATCATCCAACATCCAACAACTAATCAGGTAGACCACCAGACGATACAAGACCCATTACGTGGACGCTCCTTCTTGGTGGCTGGGGTCAGCATTCACTGAAATCGGAAACGATCGCCATAATCATCGGAGGTCTGCACGCAAGACTCCGAAGGGTTGCCCCCGGTTGCCTGCCTGGACGGTGCATACTGCTTCCAACAGCGCCTGATCTGAGCCCAATTTGGGGCCCATTGCCCTGTCAGGACCCAATAGTATTCCCCAAGTCCAATCGATGCGCTCCCCAGAAATGCTCCGAACAAGCGTACTTCTAGGGTCCCATGCTATAGAACCGTCTTCCGAGAGCAGCGTTGAACATCCTTTGTCCGCCCGACTCATACGTATTCTGGTCGATATGTGCCCACCAAAAGGTGCGCGTCTTGGCAGAGTGCCATGGGTTACATACAAAGACCCCTATTCGGAATGAATCACCTCAACCGTCAACCCATACTCGTCCGACCAATACGACCCGCCGAGCAGAGCCCCCGCCGGTGCCGGGGGCGGAACGCACACATTCTGGATGCCACAGGCGTAGACGACGACCAGGTTGCACGGTATGCTGCACCCCAGACACGACCTGCCGCAGATGGCGATCGCCGCCGTGCCGCTGTTGACTAGGGTGGTGCAAAAACTGCCAGAGTCGTTCCCTTGTGTGCAATCTCCGTCCGGACCCCAGCCTGTGAGCTGCATGATGGCGTCGGAAGAGTTGCTGTAGCTGGGGCTGGCGGCGCTCGAGTCGCAGGTCACACCGTCAGGTGCGGCGGAGACGGCGGATCAGCTGGCTACGAGTGCGGAGAGGATGATTTGTTTGAATTGAATTGCATCTGGTGGGTTGTGTTAGCCATCTTGTCTCGAGCGGTATTCACCTTTGATCAGCTTGCTTTGGTAGCTCGTGCCTTCGTAGGTGAATTTGTTTACTGTAGGAAGGGAAGCTTTGTTTGATAGGGTAGGAAGCTTGACTGGAGACGATGGTTGTGTGATAACAAGGGTTTAGCAGCACGTCTCCCCTCTCGTATTTGTATTCACCTTCCTGGCAGCAAAATAATACTGAAACATTATGATCTGTGTGATGCGTACGAGTAATGAGTATCTCTAACAATCAAGTCCCATGACGTCTCAGAGCAATACGAGGCGACTTTTGTGGTGTGTAGACACTCGCGTCGTTCCCTACTTGCATTGTTGGACACCTTACCGCCAACGCAAATTTCCTCCCTTCCCTTCCGTCATTGTTGAGGCCCCGAATATTCCAGTGGCTCAACGTAGACATACAACACTAGTGCAGCTTCGTGTGATGTTTTTATACATCAAATATATAGGATGAGAACACTATGTCCGCCTTCCATCTATGCTCCAGGCACCGAAATGCCCCTGCCAGTGCAAACTTGTCAGAATCGCGCCGTTCCCATTTCCATTCTCATGAGCCGCTCGATATACCAGCCTCACAACTCTATAGCAAACCTTTCTCTCACGCCCTCGCCGTAGTAGAAGAACAACAATGGTGCCGGACTCAGCGCTAAGCTCAAGAAGGCAAAGATACTGATCCCCCAGCCATACCCCAAGGACTCGAAGAGCTTAGAGGCTCCAAGCGGCAGTATACCACCCACAATGCTTCTGAATACTGCACCTGCAGCAATAGCAGACGCGGCATACTGTTGAAACGAATCAATGTAGTAGTTCTGGCATGTATTCAGAATGGTAATTTGGCCCAGCCCAAAAAAGACAGTCGAGATGAGGGGGACCACGAAATGCACTTTGTATTGGACCGTCCATGCGAATACGAACAGAGACGTCGGAATGAACACGGCACCAATGTTCGCCAGCGGCAGTCGATACTCTGGTTTCGCTTCTACGTTGTTTTTGCGGGCCAGGTAGTTGTAGATGGTATCAATCTTCGGGACGATGAACCAGACGGCGGTCAGAAAGCCAAGACCAGGACCCAGGTACATGAGCCCTACGGTAGTTGTGTCGAAGCCATAGAGCTCGCCGTAAATGGCTTGGAAGTTCGTATACAGAGAGTATGTTGTGCCGAAAAGGATAGCCTGATACACTGCCATAGTAAACACAACCGGCTGCATAAACAAGATGCGCAGCGGCCGTGCCATTGAATTTGCCAGTTTGGACCGGAGGGGTCGGTCGTCTTGGCCGGCCATGCGGTATGACTTGCTTCCACTCTCGGACGAGTCTTCATAGGTCTTTTTGCGGGCTTCCAGAATGACAGGAGCGTAGCTTTCTTTAAGGAAAAAGAACCCGACTACGGTGTTGAAGCTGCATACAATAGTCAGGATCCAGAAGATCCAACGCCAGCCGAGGTACTGGACTATGATACCGCCGAAGAGAGGGCCAAGGGTTGGGCCAAGCAGAGGACCGAGTAAGTACCAGCCGAAGACTCCAGCTCTCTGGCTTGGATGGAACATATCGCTGATGGTGCCTCCCCCGTTCGCAATGCCCACGCTCCCAAAGAAACCGCTAATCGTCCTCACCCCAATCAATGCTTCCACATTCGGACTCAACGCAGTGGGGATCTGCAGTAAGGCAAAGATCGAGAAGCAGACCAGGTACAGCTTCCGCCTCCCAAACGTCTCCGAGAGTGGAGCTAGGATGAGAGGGCCAATGCCGAGAAAGACAACAAAGCCGGTGGTAGCTCCCACAACGGTGCTATCACTCGTGTTGAGATCAACCGCGATCTCCGATATCCCTGGTGTGAACATACTGGAGGCTAGAGGTGATAGGACTTGATTTCGTTGATAAGCATGACGCTGCTGGCGATGCTACAGATGACAGCTACTTACTGGCCATGAAAGCTATGATGGCTACGTTGACGAATTTACGCCGACGAGGCCAATTCCTTGGGTTTTCGTCGTCCTCTTTGGAGAAGTCGATGATCTGGGCTTGATTAGATACAGAGTTGTGAGAGATTGTTGCTAGGAGCGTACCTCCGGGTCATTCTGTTGGTCTTCGGCGTGGCCATTCTGGAGCAGCGGCGACCGTTCATCTGATCCGTCCGTCATCTCACTTTTGTAGAGGAGCACTCTGTGTTTTTCAGATGATTTTGTTTAAAGATTGGTGGCACGAAGATCTCTTGATGTTGCCGACCGATAAGCGCCAAGATGATTGACGTAGGAATTAGCGTGACACTAAAAGTTAGGGTTCACTTATCGAGTTTTGCCACTTGCTTTGACTCATCTCCGTTTTGTGAAGCGCCGCAGACAGAATAGTGTACTTGTATACCTATACCATCATGGGCTATGTGACTTCAAGATAGTATATGGAAGGGACACCATGTGTCAAGCTGAGGATCAACTTACAACCTAGCCACTCACTGGTATTCGATCTATCAGGCACGAATCCTTTCGATCTGTTACTCGAAGTGGACAGGTTTCGAGGGGACGGCGGTGGTTGGCGATCTATAACGCTACTGTTGAACGGATCACTGCTTGATGTTCCTCATGCTTTGACCAATGGATTACTGGAATTGATCGACCTGGATGCAGACTGCAAATTTGTCTTCAAATCTAAGGATGAAGGCATTGCTAGGCCTACTCTGTCAACGCAGCCCAGTGATTCTTTCGATATTGTCTACCTAGAGGAGGATAGCCTTGTCACCTTAAGGCCCGAAGATGACAATCTTACTACATCCGCGCCGTCAGCGCAGCCAAAGAATCGGGTTTTGACCTTGCTGACCAGGGAATCTGGCGGAAGAAGGAAAGCGCAGAAGATTATTCCACTGCGTATCTCGGAAACCATCAAGCATCTGCTCAAGCCAGGCTGCAGGTATCGCCTTCAGACCACCAGCATCGACTTAGGCGTGACATGGTGGCGATATGGCTCTCAGGGAGAGCTGGCTATCAAAGATGTGCCCATGGAACTACTTCCTCCATCGGAGCCAGCAACCATGGTGGCGACTCAAGTCTGCCACCGGGATTTCTCCGTCGTGGAATCACTACCCGTACCGCCATCCGTGTACATCTCCCTTGCCCTCTCTCCTCCTGTCGTCTACAGGTCAGGCGACCCAACACCCACCTTGGAAATCTCAATCACGAACACAGCAGATCAGCCAGTGACAATGATCTCTTTTGGATCCCAACCCCACATATCACCTACTCACACTCAGTCAAACAACCATGCGCGTGTCATCAGCACCGGTGCCAAGATCTCGCTTGAGAACTTTTCCATTACTCACATGGCCACTGGAAAGGAGATGGTACAGGAAAGCTACACATGTGTTTTGCAGATTGGCTGGCAGCGCCGGCAATTTACGACACTGGAGCCAGGTGTGCCGCTAGTGCAAGAGATTGACTTCTTGAAGAATGCGACTGCAATTCGAGCGGGAATGGACGCTGGCGAGTATAAACTAAGGCTACGGGCGAGGGACGTATGGTGGCACTGGGGCACGAAGGAGGAGATTCTTGAAGGCAAGCCAGGAACAAAGAGGTTGCCCGGTGGTCCAAAGCCGCCGTTGATTCTGGCATCCGAGGATGAAGTGATTTTTCGGTTCAAGGAGCACACGTGAATTACGGGTATGAATTCAATCACCCGCCAATGCTTTGCTAAATACCCAATTACAATGGTGAACCTACTGTATACAGGGTCGCACCTTCTCCTAAAAGGGTGGATTCTGCGATTTTGTATGCAATCAATCGCTATCCATGAAAGCTTAATTTGCGACACTCCATCATCTACTTTCCCTAAGATTCACTGGTTTCTGGACTTTCAACCAGATTGTGCTACCAGTCTCCGTCAACGAGAGTATGTGGTTTGTATTATTTTTGTGGTCTTTCTCGCAAAATCACATTTTAACATGACAATGTTCCCCATTTTCGACCAGAACATTTGATCAATTGCCATCAATGAAAGTTCAGCGTGCCACTAATTCTTGGTTTCCTCCCCCAAGAAAGACTCATTGGCATCAGTCTCTCCAGTCATTTCCCATACATTGGCCCCGCAATGGCGGTCCTCTCCCTGCGTATTGGTATAGAGACTGAGGTCCTACTCTGTGCAATTGACATGCAAGACCAATGCAAAGGTTCTCTTGAAGAGTTTGCCAAGGGTCTGGTCGGACATTACAACACCAAAGTCAGGGAAAGACCCGGCCAACCCGAGATGCGTATGGCATTTGATACGTGGCATGCGAGCGAAGATCCTACAAACTCCCGGTACTGGTCTGTGGTGGAGGAGATTTCTATTGACCCGGATGAAGATCATTGTAAGCGTTTGAGCTGCTCATCTATGCGACCATGTGAGCAGTCATGGCTTCTTCCCCCTGCCGTGCTAATCTATGTTGGTCAAGGGGGTCTCGAGTTTGCATCACCTATCATACGCTACGAAGCTGGAAGCTCATGGCGCCAGAACCTGCATTACCATTTCCAAATAATCGAGAGCTACGCTGAGATCATGAGCGACGTCACATGCGGTACCCACGTCCACGTATCCCCAGGATACAGCAAGTGGACTCTGGAACAAGTCAAGAATGTCTCAAGAAGCATCCTCTATTTCGAAGAAGCGTTCGAAGTCTTGCTGCCTCCAGGACGCCGTGGAAATCGCGAGTGCAGGAGCAATCGGTTTGATAATCCAAAGCTCAAGCACCTGCCTGATTTGGAATCTTGTTTTCAAAGGATCCAAGAGTGCACTGCGATCGAGTCTCTGATACATCTGATGAATGCTAAAGAAGAGGACCCCTCCAATGTCTGTGAGGATTCGAATGGGGAGAAAGCCGTGACGGAGCGTCGCTACGGGTTCAACTTCGAAAATCTCATGGAGGGCAAGATTGGGACTATTGGTATGCACCCTATTTGCGGGGAAATGCCCACTGAATGTACAGAGTGCTCACCACCTGAGACAGAGTTCCGACGTCCTCCTTGCGTTACCAACTATCAGGACTGTGTTATGTGGGCAGAATTCGGGGCTTCTTTCATGCAAGCAGCCATGCAGTACGGTACCAGCCCGGATCATTTGCGGACGTATGGGCCAGATGTGGCTGGTCTGGCCGCGTTTATCGGTCAAGCTGCCATACCAGGCATGAATGATCGAGCGATTTTGGAAAAGATGTTTGCCAGAGGGTCCGGTTGCTTGCCAGTTGGGGCGCTGAAATACCATCATTATTATTGAATATGACAGATTAGCGGCCAGATACAAGGGACTGCTACCCTTTCAATGACCAGGGCTTAGGTCCGAAGAGTACTGGATGGAGCGGAGGCATCTTGGGCATTGGAATGGGTCGCCACGATGATGGGTCTTGTACCTATTCGTCTTGGTCTAGTGGTTCATACAAATAATATGTGCAGACATTCACAAGGCAAATTGGAAAGCCACAATACGCCCTGGGTTGATTTCTGGTCGCTGCAGTTAGCAAAGATTGGCCCCACTCATGTCGGGTAGCTATGTGATAGCAGCAGAAGCCCCGTCAAGCCAACGCTGACCTAGCAGACTCTCCCTCATTCTCCCATATCTTCTCATGGATCCAAAGAAAGTCGTTTCAATCACCAGTTGGAGGGAGTTTGACTTTCGAATGCGTCACCCAGATGTTTAATGTTGATCTTGCGGGAAGCCCGATCACCACCCTTCAGTGACAACATTGTTGATGAAGTCGCCAATCTCTGTCAGCCCATTCTTGAAAGCTGGTTAAACCCAACGTGTCTCCCACTTGTTGCTACCGTACTCCACAGCTCGGTCTCGGAGCCCGCGGTCGGTTTCCGGGGTGGTGGCGTAGATGAACGGGATAGCAGCGATGAATTCTCCAATCGGCTGGAGGTGTCCCGAGAGGGGTTGCAGGAATCCTGTGGGAGGCTCATCAAGATGTGCCGTGAACCTTGTCTCCAGCTTCTTGTTTCGACCCGCGAAGGTCGGACTTATCTCCGAGAGCGTACATCTTGACGATGGTGTCAAGCCATGAAAGCCATTGTCCCTCGCTCTTGCCGGAAACATTCACGTGACTATTTCAGGTAAATTTCGAGTATATTATTTAGGCCTTCCTATCCTTTCTATCCTTCTTACTTCTATCACTCGCCGTATACCTCTTATACGCCCGGCCTATACTCTTCTTAACACCTTCTACATCCCTCTATCCTTTCTATCTACCTTCTACACGCCTACATCCTTTTAACACGCCACAATAAGAAAGAGAAAGCCCACCGTCACTCCCATCGTCACTCCTTCTAACACCCAAAAAACTTGTAACCCTAAGATTAAATGGTTGCAACAAGATATAGATCTCATTGTCAATTGGTTCTGTGCACGAGACGAGGAGGGCAAGCCGTACAACTATGTAATTAGACTTAGGGCTAGGGCTAATAAGCGAATTTCTGAAAATTCCATAGAAATCAGGCCTATGAATATTCCACAGTAAGAAACCGGGTAAATTACAAATTCATACCCCAAAACCTTGGATCCTTACAAATTCATACCCCTAATTACATTTTCATACCCCAATGGGGTATGAATCGGTAATTCGCCATTCCTTGGGGTATGAAAATGTAATTTACCATAGTGCGCTGAGGTTACGTCTTCGGGGGCTGCGAAATTAGCCCGGACCGGCCCCGGGAGCCCCGAACTGAAGACCTCTACAGAGGTCTGCACCGAAAGTCCTGCACCCGCACTAGTGCAGCCCTAACCCTACTTTCGGAAAGCGGCCCTGTAGAGGGGAAGCCTAAAAATATCTTCTCACAGCGCATGATGGGACTTAAGGTACTTCTTTTAGCCTTGATAGGGGTAGTAAGCCCCGAAACCTGGCTAGGGCTAGGTGCGATTCCGAAGAACTCCAGACGTATTGTCCAGGTAACCCTTTAGGTGGGGCGTTATCCGAAGTCTGAGCGCAAGAGTCTTGGCGGGTGCAGGACTTTCGGTGCAGACCTCTGTAGGGTTCGCCGTGTAACTCGTCGAAACCTCGCTCCGAGGCTAAGGCGAGCTCTTACTGTTATAAATCCCTGACTCACCCCAATCCGCGATAAATGGGGTTTTCAAGGCTCCCGGGGCTTCTTTAGGGGCGTTTGTAATAAATTACAAATTCATACCCCAAAGAATGGTAATTACATTTTCACATACCCCATTAGGGGTATGAATTTCAAGGTTTTGGGGTATGAATTTGTAATTTACCCGTAAGAAACCTGAAAATTCCACACTTTGAATATTCCCACGGAGTTACTCTGAAAACCCCTATTGATATTTGATCTATGAGAAGCGGGTCCTCCTCATTGAAATCAATGCGCATGCTTTTTGCTTCCCAAATGACTATCATTTGGTGAATGCTCGGTAGAGGAAAGCACTGAGTACCATGAAATTGCCAATGTCCCGTTTTCAATTTGGTCTTTCCGTAACATAGTATTCTTGTTCTCCTCGACAGATGAAACAGATGTCTTGTGAGTAATTCTGCGCCATGCTTGCTGTTTTCATTGACGTTGTCTTGTTCGGATGGGGAAGGTGAAAAATGTAATCCGAGGGAACAAAGCGGTGTTGAAAGTTGAAGTGATGTTTTCAACAACGCTGTCCGCATCTCGAAGTAAGCTAACACGACAATGTAACAAGTTCTGTTAGTCTCGTTTTCAACTCTTCACGCATGAAAATGGCGACCACTATCAATGTTGTCAAGCTAGAGCCTACCAATGACGGCCAGGACCCTCCCAAGATCCTCAATTTCGAGACGGTCGCTTCCTACAATTGGCTGGACGAACCAACGCCAACCATCCTTGTGCCAGGTCAGTTGTGGACAATTGTTTGACACAATCCTTAATCTAAAGACTGACACTCATTACGGCAGGCACTCCGCCAATCTGGGTTCCACCTCAGATAAGCCCAGCGCTGAAACCAGACATCGGAGGCCGTTACGTTGATCAGAATGCCGACCGCACTCCTGGTACGTACATTTCGGAGCTGATTCTTCCCATTTGGTAATGAAGTTGAGTCGCAAGACATGTTTCGGGAGCAAAAAGAACTTTCTGCTCCCCAGACCTGTCTTGCAACTCCATTTTCTACCTCGAATAAACAAGGCTGACTCCAAAATCTGCGTAGGATCGCCATTGCAAGCCTTGATCCATGCTGTTCAAACCTGTCAGCCAGACTTTGACTTTACGAACGTCGACATCGTCACCGATAGAAAGCCTGTACGCTGTCTCCTAGGCTTTGTGAATGCCGAGCCTGTCGCGTTCAAGTTTGGTATCTCTGTCGTTGGCAACACTGCATTGTTCACCCGCATGGAGGAGAGAACTCGGGACCAACCTTCCAGGCGCTACAATGGATATCGAGACGCTTTCGAACAACAGTATACTAAGATTCCCGCTTCCGCAGCTCGCAGCACCTCCCATCATCGTGTGGTGAAATATGACTTCGCAGACCTGACAATCCTCGTTCGTTATGCGGTTGATGCGTATCTGGGAGATCTCGCAAAGGCGCTCATGCACGCCGATGGCATTGAAAACACCGATCCGGGGCCTCTGGTCAAACAACGCGAGAACATGAACATCGAGGGAAACCCTCCATCCAAGACCCTATCAAGCAACACACCAGTCACAGTCATTGATGGCGGTCGTCACATTCCTCATGCGGCCACTTTAGAACTTACGACGAGAACAAAGCACAGTCAAGCCCCTGACAGCATCGAGCAGAAGCTGCCAGACTTTTGGATCTCGCAAACTCTGAACTACCATTTGTGCCTCCATCGTGAAACAAAGGAGAAATCAAGCCGCTCGACCATTTTCCATCGCATAAGACTCATCCCCATGGGCGATTTGTTATTAGACTGGGAAAAGACTAATGCAGAGAAGCTGCGCGCTTTGGGGCATGTTTTGAGACGAGTCATAGAGGCAGCTAAAGAGCTCGGAGGATCTTGCATTGTGAGCTCCGATAAAAGCGAAGGGGCATCACTCAAGGTATCCAGAGCTGAAGAGGATGAAGTACCGGCGCTGCCTAAGGATATGCGATCTCTTTTTCTACCAATCAAGAATGAGGCAGTGGATGTGCCGATGAAGCAAGAGGAGGTTGCCGGCCAAGATGGGACACGGAAGCGAAAATCTGGTACTGAGCATGCTCCCGAATTGACAGGCTCGCCTCCTGCAAGAAGAACGGCATTGAATTCAATTTCCCGCACTCCTGGAGAAGTCACTGTACCTACTGAAGACGGAGGGGTTACCAAAACAGCAAGCACGAGAGCCTACGATGGAACACGCAAACGAAAGCTCGACGCCGAGGACGCCCCAGAGCTGACAGACTCGCCCCCTGCTAGAAGGAGAGCACTGAAATCAGTATTGAGCACTTCAGAAGAGGTTGTTACAACCATCAAAGAAGAGGAGCCGAGTGTGAAGATAAAGGACGAGCCCGTGGACACCGAGATGGCATTGTAGGAGAGGCTGCTTCTAAGCACGCGTATGTCAAGCTAGAGCTGTCCAATAGTGAGGCGTCGTCGAAGAGGCGAAGACTTGTATAGTGTCTTTTCTGTGGAGTTATGGAGATTACTCTTCAAGCAAGACGAGCAGGATAGCATGGCTGATGGCACTCAATGAGTCCAGACCCAGCCTCTCTTACGCAAATATACAACCCACAGACTCCATGAATGCATCCGCTCTTTCATCCTCTTTCCCCTCCCTCACCCACTCAGCCACTCAAAGCATATCACATATTCCCCATATAATTCCCTAAATCCCTCTCCCTCCTTTTCCGCTGCCACTCCACCACCCCTTTCGCATTAACAATATCCTTCAGTCTCCCACCCATCTTCACAATTCCGCACCTGACCATCCGCGGATCTACCGACACTGTTTTCTTGACCAGCTCTTGTACGGAAGGCGAGGCGTCAAAGCGTAGTATGAAGTGGTGGCCAGAGTCGTGCCGCGCTTGGTTTTTCCTGATGGGTTTGATGAGGAGGAACGGTCCCCAATTGGTCAGACCGCGGACTACGCCGCCGTGGGCGAGGATGAGAGCACCGGCTGTGCGTGCAATGCTGGAAAAGAAGTGGGGTCAGTGGAAAAGGAGAGGCAGCTGGGTAAAGGGCTGGGTTTGGGGAAGGTACTCTTTGACTTCGTTGGTGGTGTGCGGTCTGCCCACGCGGACCTGATCCGATCAGCATTGCTATCTTGGAAAATAGAGGGAACACCTACAATGGCTATCATCTCATATAACATGGCGCTGTCTTCTTATCCTCATCGCTCATGAGCTTCAACTGAGCTTGAAGAGGGTCAATTCTCTAAATCTCTCTGAACGCTTTCGCCTGGTAAGGCTGAACTAGCGTCTTCGATCAGCTATTTGCGACTTGCCGCAAAGCTCATTCCCTCCTCCCAACACTACTATACCGCAATTATGGCAGCGGTCTCGAGGTTGAGAGTACCATTGGCTTCTTCTCAAAGGCTATGCTCCCTATCAACATGTCATCGCTCAAGATTGGCTCCTCAATTGCAAGGACGACTGTCTAGAACAGGCCCAGGCCGAAGGGCTTTCACAACGTCCATAGCTTGCAAGTTGAGCCCCTCGAACCCTGATGGAATGATAGCTACTGATCCAGGTATGCATAGTACAAGAAAAGAAATACACAGAGGAGCACGAATGGATTGAGCTCAGCGAAGACGGCAAGACAGGTACCCCCACCCTGCCCCTCTCCGATAAACGGTTCATCCTCTACACATTAGCCTCTTCTAATACAACCAATGTCTCAGGCACCATCGGCGTCTCAGTCTACGCCGCCAAAAACCTTGGTGATGTTGTCTTTGTGGAACTCCCCGCCCTCGACCTTGAAATCAAAGCCGGCGACTCCATGGGGGCTGTTGAATCGGTCAAGTCGGCATCGGATATCTTGTCGCCTGTGTCGGGAAAGATCATAGAAGCGAACGATGTACTGCAAGAGAAGCCAGGCACTATAAATAAAAGTCCGGAAGGAGAGGGGTGGATTGCGAGGATACAAGTGAAGGATGGAGGGGAGGTGGAGAAGTTGATGAGTATGGATGAGTATGCGAAATTCACTGCGGAGTAGAGGGAAGACAAAAGGTTCATTCAACATGCACGCATTCTATTGTCACTTATATTATGATTCGAATGACAATATCAATTCCCATTGAGGTGTCATTTGCCTTTTTTTACCCATTGAGGGTCCAACCGCAGCTTCTTATCCATTGAGGTTTTATTCGCGGTTTTTCATTCCAATATTTCCTTGTCACGAGATAATGCATTATTTTCCGACTTTTTGCACCCTTATCTAACCACCCTCAACGAGAGATAAAAGACCCTCACTTTTGACCACGACAACAAGCCCGAGAACAGGTCATCGACCAAGACGGAGACAGAATGTCGCACACAGACCGAGAACAGGTCATCGACCAAGACGGAGACAGAATGTCGCACACAGACCGAGAGAACAGTCATAGTTGCGCTGGCAAAGGGACATTCTCTTTTCTCCAATTACCGGCCGAAGTCCGTAACATGATCTACCATCACTGTCTTACCTCTGAAACGATCGTACCCCGATACAGCGCTTGGACCAAAAGATGGACACCGATCGATCTTCTCTACGTCAATCGAACAATCTACAACGAAGCCTTCTTTCATCTCTACACCAAGGGAGAGTTCGTCTTAGTGATCAGACCTGAAAGTCTCTTCGCCCTAGCTTCATGTTGGGCGACGAACGACATCAGTGCGAGCGTCGGTCTTGAACTGTTCTTCAAGACCGCAAAGATCCTGGATCTCATCAGGCACATCCGTCTGAAAATCCACTGGCCGTCCGTCCAGTATTCTACGCTCATGGACCGCAAAATTAGTAGGCGTGCACCGACAACAGACAATATGCTCAAACGAACAATACGCACAACGGGAGCCATGCTTTCGGAACTTCCAGCGCTACGTACCATCGACGTATCGTGGTATCACATGACCGTGTGCCCGTGGGAGTTGGCAAAAGTCGCACCCCCTGACTACAAGATTCCGGTTTGGCTGCGGGGACTCAAACAGGTTCGGCGGGAGAATGAGAAGGTGCTCATCAGGATGCCGTCGACGGGTCCGGTATCGACGGAAGAGCTTGCGCAGGGGCAGGGAGATAGGGACGAGTTGGCGAATCTTTTGAAGGAGGTCAGGGAGGATCTTCAGGAGCTGAAGGGGTGTCTGCAGGAACGGCTCTACTGAAGAACGCGCTGTGGTTGACCTGGAGAGGCGGGCTCTCCGTCTATGTGGTTTCTGGAGTTGCTCCTGGGTGGTTTGAGCTTGCAGGCGAGGTCTACGTTGGAGAAAGCGTTTCGAAATCTGTTGGTGAGGCGGAGTCGTGGGCTTGGACGCTCTGTAAGGTGATATTTCCGGTTCCTTACGAAGAGTGCCTCAGGAATAGAGAGCCTCTTGGCTTTTGAAGCAGCATGAGAATCGGACGCCTTTGCAGCTTTAGACTAGCGTCCAAAAAAATTCCATTTTTTACAGCCGGTTGGGATTACTTCAGAAATAATGGATTATTCACTTTGCCGGTAAATTCATTTCTGTGACGGTTTCACTTTCCCTTTTTTGTCAATTGTCTTCTCTCCTGGTTTCGCTCGTCATCAAGCAGAAGTCTATAGTTGTCTTATCGCAAATACAAGCTGTGAAGAAGTCATGGTCTCCACAGAAACCCACGAGACGCGATCTATCAATTGCGGATTCCTTCATAAGTTGATGTACATCGCGGTCTTGGCTATCGTTGTTTTCGGGATGTGGAAGGGAGTACGAGTACCGGCCCCCATCCAAGCGCTCACTCGTCTCCATGTATACATTGTGCATCTCCTTGAAAGGCCATCTTTCCGGTTCCTTGACCTCCCACCCGAGATACGCAAACTCGTCTACCACCACCATTTCACTTTGTACCGGACATCCTGGTACTACAGGAAATTCCGACAGACGCCAATGCTTCCGGATGCCATCCTCAACGTCAACAGGCAGGTCTACGAAGAGGCGTCGCACGCGCTGTACTCCGAAGTCGTTTTTGTTATCAGAACTACAGGTACGCCGAACGTGCACGGCGATAGGACACCTTTTGCTGGTGTCACGCGCGCAATTCCGCACGTCGTCAAACATGTCGCCACCATACACTTGGAGATCCAATGCCCTCGCTCCGGCCGGCATGGCCGGTCGGGAAAAGACGAGGGACGTGGCCGCTCCGTCACGGCGCTGAAGACAAATATCAAAACGGTGTGTGCCTCGTTGGCGAAACTGCCAAATTTGCGCACTATCGATATCACGTTCCTCGCGGAGGATTCATCGGGTTCTTTGAGGCCGCGTGCCCCGGCGAAGTTCCGCATCCCGGTTCTGTTGAGGCCGCTGAAACTGGTGCGGCGTGCGAACCCGGACATTGTGGTACAGATGCCGGATTATTGCCCGATCTCGACCGCGGAGCTGGCGGAGCAGCAGCGGGAGTGTCCTTGGGGGTCTGATTACTGGGCGGAATTGAATGAAGACTGTAAAGAATTTCGGGGAGTTTCGATGGCTGTGGGGGGCGAGTTGGGAAGGACGGATGGAGGGTTGGATTGGTGATGCAATGCTCGTGATCCTACACTCGGGTACTGACAACAGATGCAAAAGCACTCATTTGGTCATCAAGCCTCAATGAAGGAAGGTTTTTTGTTCAAATCGAGAAAGCTTTGTACTCTGCATAACGCGATCCCCTGATAATGGGCTTGTATCTTGGCACTTACGCTTCCCAATGTACTTCTCAACCCCACACACACCAGATGGCGGGCTCTTAGACTTTGAAAATTTCCTCTGTAGAGTACACGTCGCTCGTGTTGATACTTTTGCTCGTAGAAATGATCTCCCCCCGACTCGCTTGAAAGGGAGTTTAGAATCGGGCAGGGCACTTAATTGGCGAAAACCAGGACTTTGATGTTCTGTTGACCCTGAGATCAAGTAGCGGGGACACAGTCCCAAATGTCTAAGATTGTCAAATCTTCGACTTCCATAATCGCTACATACCTTACATCGTTGGTGACCATTGCAACTGAATCGCCCATGTCCACAGTATAGTTCGCTGATGAGAATCGATCATATTCCCAGCGGATCAATACCCATTGGTGACTTGTTGACAGCGATAATTTTTGACTGCAGCCAAGTAAATCATAGGATAAGTAGGATGGATATTGTAGGATTCTTCGTAGAACTTGGGCCGAAACATTTTCTAGGTGACGGTTTCTTTTCCTCCTTTTTTCCGGGCCTTCATCAAATGAAGATCCGAATTGTATCTAGGCACCGTTAGCATACTGAGCTGAACAGCTGCGGAGCTTTCCTCAGAACATACATTCTTATATGCTCGGCAGAGTTGCCATAGGCGCAAATGCCTAGCTCGTGTGTAGGAATCGAGGAAAGCACGCTTACCATCATGCATCCATAATGTACGATTGAAGCGAGGAGCCAGCACCACCAGCACTCGAAACGCTCCCTGCTGGCGTCCTAGCCAGCTAGTGCACGGCTCCCACTTGCCGACACAGCATTATATATTATGCCATTCAGTGCCTTGGATTCGTCGATGTCGCATTGGTGTTTGACACGACATAGGTAAGATTTGTTACCACGGCAAGGCTCGCGGTCATTGCTATGGCTTTTCTCGGCATTCCTCGCATCAGCATTAGCTGCCTATCCTCCTTCGCAGCTCGATTCTGCACCGATATCGGCTGCTTATCCTCGTTCGCAAAGCGACTCTAGTCATGTGTAAAGACAAACACAATCATAGGCACGTAGAGTGATCACGTCACTAATCCAAACTGTAGTGTTCTCAATTAGAGGTGACAATTCCATACATTGCGGATGTCGACAAAGGTCGATGCCATTCTGGATGCTTACTACAATCTCCCTGCCGCGCTGTCACCAACTTGCTTCTTTCAACCCACAAACACAACGCAAGTATCCCAAATCATCGCTTTCTTTTCCCAAGCACAATGCAAATTTGCGGTCAAAGCCGGCGGGCAGATGCTTTTCGTCGGGTCGAACGCAATCCAGGATGGAGTAACGATAGATCTGTGATAATGGAACCGGACTACACTCAATGTAAAGACCCAGACGGCCTCCGTGGAAGCAGGTGCGAAGTGGAGAGAAGTGTACACGACGTGGGAAGCTCAGGTGTACTTCGTCCCAGGGGCTGAGGTTTCGGATGTGGGTGTCGCAGGTCTAAGACTGGGCGGAGGAATTTCCTTCTTCGCTGCTCGCTACGGCTTTGTGTGCGACAATATTAAGAGTTTTGAGATTGTACTCGGCAACGACACTGTCATTAGCGCCAATGCTACACATAACCCTGATCTGTTCAAAGCGCTCAAAGGCGGATCTGGGAATCTCGGCCTTGTCACCGGCTTTGACTTTGCCGCTTTCACCGGTGATGATCTGTGGGGTGCTAGGGTAACTTACAACCACGCTGATGTCCAGAAGTCATTCCAGCCAATGGTTGACTGGGCCGATCAAGCCGCCTTCGACCTATATGAATCAGTCATCAGATTCTGGGGTCACAAACCAAACGCTCGCCTCCAACCTATATGAGTATACCAGCAACGCAACCGAAAAACGCTACTATGATTCCTTCGATAATACGGCTGAGCCGAATGTCTTTTCCGCGCCCTTTGCCAACTTCACCTTTGATAAATTGGTAACTCTCTTCCAGGTAGAGCTTCTCTCGGTGTCGCATACATATACAATCTCACGAGCCGGCTCAACCTTCCCAGTGGCCTCCGCAACATCTACGCCGGCGTAGTTTTCGAAGCCACGACGCCTGTTTTGACTTACGTCAACGAAGTCATTCGAGACGTTTACGAACCCATCTATAAGGACCCGCCTTACACTTTCCTGCTGGCAGAATATCAGCCCATCCCCTACATCGCTACCCAACACAGTATCAACAATGGTGGTAACGTTCTCGGTCTCGATAGAGTCAAGGGCAACGTCATCGTCCTCATGCTCGTCGCTCTTGGGAATGACCCTATCCAAGACACGAGGGTGCGTGAGCTGATGGACGCGACTATGGGCAACGTTACCAATTACACACAAAGCGTTGGGGCGTACAGACCTTGGCAATATGTGAGTTATGCATACGAAGACGAGGATTCGATAGGGAGTTATGGCGATGACAATGTCAAGTCCCTAAAGATTATCAGTCTCAAGTATGATCCCAGACAAACATTCCAGACGCTCGTTCCAGTGGATGGAAATTGGGAGATGCGGGGAAGCGAAAGAAACAGTTCAATTTCGATTAATTCGAAAGATTCAATCCGTCAACCACTGAGGCTTGAACGCTGCACTGGAGCTGGAAACAACTGGATGTTGATGAAGCGAGGAGACCAGCTTGTTCATATCATGATACAAGCCATGTGTAAAGATGACCAGACTATTCATTACCATGGCGCAATACATATATGTAGAGAGAGAGAGAGAGAGAGAGAGAGAAGCACAATCTATAATTTTATAAATCGGCTACCGCTCTCCGTCCTCGATGCAACCCTGACCGATATCATACCATCGAAACAAACACACTTCCAATGAACGTTCATCGACGCAGCGGATGCGCTCTGTTGACAAAAGATAGGTACTCTCGCATAAAGAGACATGCTTGAGCACCAGCCAAGGACATTTTACACGGCTGGATAGCTTTTGACATACATGTCTGAGTGTTCGTCTGACGCCACGGTTGCCAATTCTACTAAAACACGCTAGAAGCTTGGCGGCCGTAGAGTACCTACTTCATTCCCCTCCCGCCGCATAAAATTGTGCAGCTGAACTTGCAGATCTACTAGTGCCACGCACTTATTCTATACAACAATAATCGGCTCACGCCGGCAGCCTTGTTGGGCTATGATCACGAATTCCGCACGCGTCTGTCATTGATTGATTCCTTCTTGGGTCCGTAAAACCACAGCACTGCCCTGCTTGTGCTCGGATTGAGGCTGAGATGTGAAAGTGTGCATATTTTCGGGATCCATCGCGAGATAACGACAACAGTCCCGTGGACAAAACAGAATTCCCTCTGAAAGCTCATTAATGACGCTCAAACGCCTACATGCGAACATAGGCTCTCAACTATGGCAGGGGCAAGCGATCAGAACGACATGCCTCCCCAGACACAAAGCCGGAATAGCCCCTCAGAGGACAGCACCACTGACATTGACAAGGAAACTCCTGCTAAAAAGCCATCGCTGATCAAGAGGACATGGGATGGATCCGGTCTCAATCCGGGAATGCTGATGATGATGATCAAAGGTGCCTTACCTCCAACAATTTCACTCGCCGTCTATCAGAGTACGGATTTTGCCCAAGTCTACTCAACCCTTGGCTATCTCGTGGCTATCATGTCTGTCCTCAGCTTCGCCATTTTACCGAGAAGCAAGTACATTCAGACAATGCTGTTCAACATCATTGGTTTATGTATAGGCGCTGCGGTCGCGCTGCTTGAAATTTACTGTAGCGTCCAAGCACGAGCTCACACAACCCCATCCGTCAAAGCGACTGGCAACGGTCCCAGCCCTGGAACCGCGGTGTCTAACTACAATTCCTCGGCTTCCGCTGTGAGTGCGATTTGGCTGTTCTTCAACATTTACCTCGTCAATACTCTGCGTGCGTCAAGGCCGCAGCTGCAATTTCCTGTCATTATATACTCGATCTTTGCAAACGTAGCGTCCGTCTACGCGCCAACTTTCCCAACCATGGTCGCTGGTATCGCTTTTGCTAAGCGCCTGTTGGAAGCCTTCCTCACTGGGTTTGCTATTGCTACGGGGGTGTCACTGTTTATATTCCCCGTATCGGTACGGATGACATTCTTCAAACAATCGGCTGGGTTCATTGCAGCTGTTCAAAGCACACTGAAAGCTCAGATATCCTATCTGCAGACCTTGGAGAAGAAGGATATGTTCCGTAACCCTACGGCATCCGACGAGGATGAGAAGTATAAGAAATCGAATAGCCACAAGAAGGGCGATACGGCCAAGCCAAACGGAAGTGCAGAAGCTCAACGATTGAAAGCAATGAACGAGGCTCTTGTCAGAATATCAGGTATGATAGAATAAGTAGTGTGTAGATTGCATGAATTATTCTATCTCAGGACTCCCCTGGGCCAGTATTTGTACCCCTCACAAAATAGGTGGTTGTTCCAACAGGTGGCTGGGAGGAGGCTGGGAACCTTATTTTGACACTCCCCTGTGACCTGCCTCCCCTAGCCCAATCAAAAACATGATACTATCCAGAAAAATGATGTCATACCTTCCCTGGTGCCTTTCTTGATGCCTTTCCTGGTGCTACCGACAAGCCTTCCTAGACCGTCACCGACAAGTCTATCCTAGACCGTCACCGACAAGCCTTCCTGGCCGTCACCGACAAGCCTTCCTGGCCGTCACAAGTTAATGAATGCTTCCTTTTCACCTGGTGCCTCTTGATCCTGCTGCTGTAACTCGTCCCATTTCCGCTTCCGAGATCTTTTCTCAATGGTCCACCTTTCTTGTAGCCATTCCGGGGCCAACTCCGGGTGTAACTTCCAACAGATATCCGCTTCGTGACCCTTCCCACAGCGAGGACATACCACATCGTTGTCGATAGCCTTTCCGCTAGGAGTCCTCTTACTCGGATGTCTTGTTGTCGCAATCAATCCCACCCCCACAGTACCAGTGTCCAAAGTCTTTTCGCGTCTCTCTTCCTCCAGAAGCATATTTCTCGCTTTATCCGCAGTCATCCCCGGCGTCATAGCCCATATCTTGGTGAAATATTGAAATTGTTCTGGGAGAGTCATGCCGAGACATAAAAGAGTCTGCTTGTCGTCGTCGAGAATCACATTGGTACCGCGAATACGCTCCTCGAGCGTCTTGATTTGAGTGAGATAGTGTGTCATGGAGTCGAAATCTTCGTACCGGAGCGAGTAATACTCCCGGGTTAATCGCATGAATTCGGCGTCACCTTTCGGGGCATAGATATTGGCCAAGGAGGTCATCATAAGGTAGCCATCGTCAAAAGCGTTAGCCTGAAGTTTCTGCTTAACGGGGCCACTTATGGTAGGGGTAATGAGGTCTGCAGCCTCCATTGCTGAATCACGCCATTTGGCTTGAGCCGTGACTGATTTATCGGGATCCGGGGCCTCTTGCGTGTAGTTCCAGAGCTTTTTACCCCTAAGAAGAGCTTTGATATCGATAAGCCATTCAGAGTAGTTGTTGTCCGTAAGCTGACGAATAGGTGACTTGAATGTGGAGGTTTCGGGGTCCATGACTGACTAGAATAGATGTGGAATAGCGGTGGTGTCCTAAGCGTCAAGCCCGGGCTCATAACCTGTCAGAATATCAGGTATGATAGAATAAGTAGTGTGTAGATTGCATGAATTATTCTATCTCAGGACTCCCCTGGGCCAGTATTTGTACCCCTCACAAAATAGGTGGTTGTTCCAACAGGTGGCTGGGAGGAGGCTGGGAACCTTATTTTGACAGCTCTTGGGGAGCTCTACGGAAAGATGCATACCGATGTTACTTTTGCAAAGCGAGAGATGGCTTGGGGAAAACTCGATGCTTCTGATATCGATAAGCTGCTAAAGCTCTTCCAAGGAATCATCCTTCCGATGATTGGTATGAGTAGCGCTGCCGATATCTTCCAACGTATTGCGGAAAAAAGCGGCTGGACACAACGAGAGACCGCTTCATCCCCAGAAAATGAAAAACGCAAAAACCAATGGAACGAAATCATGCGGACGCTGCATGATCCATTCCAAACAGTGACAGAGACCATGCATGATGGCCTCCAGCACGCTCTCTATACGCTGGAGCTGGCCAAGCCTCCAAAGAACAAGAATCAGAAAGCCAGCAAGCGAAGCAGTGGTGATGATGCAGCATCGAAGGATGTAGAAGCCGACGCTGGTGTTATGAAGCCTGGAGATCCTGAGTATGCCATCTACCTAGCCAAAAAGATCGATGGGTTCTATGAGCAACGAAAGACGGCGCTCGCAGTTTGGTGCCAGCAGAGAGGGATCCGGACGGATGCCAATTCCTTTGAGAATCCCTCGCAGACGCCTTTAAATACCAGCACTGAGATACCGAGCCGGACAGATGATCCAGGAGAGCATGCGAAGAATCAGCGGCAATTATATCTTGTTTTATATGTAAGTCAGTATCCGTTGGTGCCTCTGCCTGCACTTTTTTCTTTTTGTGTTTTTCACAAATGCGTACCAACATTGACCGTTAGACTGACGAATGTACAGATGGAGTTTTTGCTTTGGTCGACTGGTCGAGCAGTTTTAGCTCTTGTTCAATTCGCTGATAAGAAAGTTGAGGATGGGACCATGGAAAAGAGACGGCTCATCTCTCCAGGCCTGAATCGACTTAAAAAGTGGGTGACAAGGTCGTTGAAAGTCGAGGACGCCGGGATGGAGCACACACCTGACTCTACCGAGGCTGGTGGTGGTAGCATATACACAGGAGACTCCTTCCGGGCTGCCAAAGATCCTGAGCACCTTCCACCTTCGAATGCTTGGCAACGGTCGACCAATGTTTTGAGGCAACTCTCTCGACTCTTGGGTAGTCCAGAGTCAGCTTTTGGATTCCGCGTTGCGTGCGCGACATTAAGTATCGGTGTGGTTGCTTACCTTAAGGACACACAAGTGTTCTTCAATGAACAAAGACTTGTCTGGGCGATGATCATGGTGGCAATTGGAATGACCACTACAGCAGGATCCGGCGTCTTCGGGTTTTTCGGCCGCACTGTGGGAACAAGTAAGCTAGCTTTGACATGCTGTTTTGAAGTCAAGCTTACCAGCTATCAGCAATTGCTATGTGTACCAGTCTTGTGATCTGGTATATCGTGGATGGTCATCCTGCTGGAGTGATTGTTTTTGTGTTTGTCTTCGTCTTCTTTGAGTTTTACTTCCTCATGAAATACCCCCGCTTTACGGTCGTGGCTGTTATCTCTGTCGTCACGCAAGGTGAGTTCGCCCCACCAAATCCTACTGCACATAGCTCATATTCGCCAAGTCTTGATCGTTGGATACGAATTGGAAGTGAAGAAGCTTGGCAGAAAAGTGAGTGTTTTCCCAGTCCAGACTTGGATGGGTCCTCATAGCTTCAGGCGGCCACAAGCAGTGGACAACCATACTATCCGATCTACCTACTTGCGCCTTACAGACTAGCTTGCGTGGCTGGAGGTATGCTTGTAGCCTTCATTTGGACGTTTTTTCCGTATCCACTCACAGCTCGATCTCAACTGCGGCAAGACCTTGGGGTGTCATTGTATTTGCTCGCGAACTTCTACTCAATTGTGCACACGACTATCGGTCTACGTGTCAAGGGAACTGAAGGCGACATGGAGTCAAAAAACAGCCCTGGCCGAAAGCTGCAGAAGGCTCGTGGCAAGGTGTATGTCAAGGAGCTTGCATTACTTGCTGGCCTGCGTCAACATTCAGCGTTCACGGCTTGGGAGCCCACTTTTGGTGGGAAATTTCCGAGACAGCAGTATGATACGATCATTCAAGAAGTGCACAAGTAAGGTTTTGCAGTCCTGATTTATGGGAATACCCAATTGACTGGAACTTACAGCATCCTCAACTACCTAGCACTCATATCTTACTCCTCCCACCACTTCTCTCAAGATTCTGCAGCCTCACCAGACAAAGCATCCTGGCTTCAGGACTTTACCCGTCTCGTTGGAACATTGAATGCTACATCGCAAGACGTCACCTCCCTTCTCGCCCTTCTTTCCTCATCTGTGACCAACGGCAATCCACTTCCACCATACCTCAAGGCTCCACCAACTTACAAGCTGAGTCAAAGACTCGAAGAGTTGGATGCAGATATTCTGAGTATCAGCCATATTGCTGAGCCAGGGTACAGTGCGTTTGCGGTGATGCAGATCGCGAGTAGTCTTGTCAGTGATGATTTGGGGAGGTTGATTGAGTTAGTTTGCTTCCTGAGGTTGATCGACTGTTGCAGCTGCTGATATGGTGATCATAGCAATGTCAAAGCCTTGGTAGGTGAAGTTGACTTTTCGTTCCATGTCATCTCTACAGCAGACCCTTCTGAGGAAACCCTTTCGGATAAAGAGGGCCAGAAAGGCAAGAAGGACTGAGGGTTGCACTAATAGATGCGGAATTCTGGAAATCAGTCAGTCTTTACCATTCTCGCAATAATGACCTTGCTTGATTCGGATGAGAAGTCATGACTAGTATTCTTTCTTAGTCTCATTGGAGTGGTCCTCATCCAATCGTTCATTTACAGAACAAGCTTCCTCCTAGCGTGAAGGGTACCTCCTACTTCACCTTCCCTTCTCCATCTTTCGTTTATCTCCATACCAAACCCATTTCGACATCTTCTTCTACCGCGTACATATTTTTTTTCAAAACGTTCATGCATGAGGCTTCCATTGGCTCTCAATGTGTAGCACTTGATTTTTTCTCAGTCCGCCATGATTCCTTCCTTTCATATCCCTCCGTCGAACGACTTCAGAGGCTCGTTTGTGCCGCCGAGTTTAACGAAGGGAAAACGAACGAAGACAAGCTGATGCAGAAACTCTACAACTGGATACAACCGAGCTGCCCGAAGCCCGCCGATCTAGAAACCACGGGAAGAAGAGCAAACTGAGGAGGGTGAGTCATTTTCCGTCGATCGCCAAGCGTTGCGGAAACGGGGTGGTCGGTGTTCGGTGGGCGAAACCAGACGATGAGCAGCTAACCATCCCACGGACTGCATCGCAAAAGACCTCTCGCAGCTGGGGCAGATATCATGGCATCGAAACGCGTGACGCCCTCGCCTCCTACCACCAACACAGAAAGTAGGGCGCGGAAACCCTGGGCAGAGCAAGCGATCACTGAGCCAGATCTTGCAGCTCATCCCGGACCGGTCCAGAAGGCTGGCAGGATTCCAAAGCCGAAGCGTGTACGGGTTCTAGATCCGGTCCGGTTTGCACATCGTTGCGTAGAGGTGCCCATACCATGCTCTTTCATCACGGGCCCCGTAGATGGGATCCTTCGATGCGTAAATGTGTCGGGTTGCAACTACGGCGTGATGGTAGAGGGGATCAGAGTCTTGCGTATTGGCGAGTGGGCATCTCGAAGATTGCGGAGGCTTTGGGGATGGAATCGAACGGGAGCAATGGAAGAGTCCATCGGCTTACGGTACTGTGGCGAAGAGTTGGCTGGTTGAGGCAAGGCTACGGTGGGGAGAAGACCCTACCCTTGCTCTTGTCGGCCGGGCAGGAAGAGTGTACGGTATGCTGAGACTATGAAGGGGTTGGTTATGTAAATAGAGTACATCAATCAAGTCACCGCTTCCCAATTGATTGATTGATCGATTGATTTAATTCACAGACCCCCCCCCACCCCCCCCCCAAAAAAAAGTCGCAGCGGTGTGCTCGTGATCGCCCCTGTGAGTCGATGGCAGGCCCCCCATCGTCGGCGAACCGTCAATTCTGTGAATATAAAAAACGCTAATGAACGCAGCAACATCTGGTATTCACTCCAGGATCCTGGGCTCAGACTTAGTTAGTGGAAGCACAACCAATTTCTGGCCGGGCTCATGACCCGCTAATCAGAGCATGTTTCTCATCACAGTATGGTAATTTATTGACAATAATCAAAAGTCATGGCCAACAAAATTGTAGAGAGAATTAGGCATTACATATTCCATACCAGAAGGTAATCAGCAGGTCGGGAAATGTGAAGTCACAAGCCGCAGAAGTGAAAACCCGTAGGAAAAATAACTAATGGCGCGAATCCAAAATTCGAATGCGCGTTGAAGTTCCGACTACTCGCAAAGATGTATGTGGGCTGAAAACATTGATTGAGTCACAGAATGGTCAATGGATCTCACGGAGCACAGAGCCTAAAAAGGACAAAAAGAAAAAAAGAAAAAAATCATATCGAAGATATAGCAACACCTGGTTTCGATCCAGGGTCCTCTGAACGGAAGTTAGAAATCTGAACGGTCACGGAATTTTTGTGGAATCGAACATACCCGGGTTATGAGCCCGGCGCCTAAAATTAAGTTAGTTTGACAGACATTTGATAGTCCAGTGAAGAACATACGCTTCCGCTGCGCCACTATAGATAGTTAGAATACTGTCACGAATTTACGAAAGGTTTTCACTGACTGTTGCTGAGCTACGGCAGCTGTGGATAATAAATGGATGCCTAATGTAATATATAATAAACTTTACGCTCTTTGGGCTTTTTTTTAACGCTTGGCTCCGCATTAATCGTTTTGCACTCCACGACTACGGGCGGAACCAAGAAAGTTCGCACCGACAGAACAAATACCACCACCAAGGAGAATCGCAAAAAAATCCGGAACAGCCAGCCCGTGAGGAAAGCGACAGGAATGATTTCCATTAGTGACGCCTCGGATAGAGAAGGAAGAACCTGAGGAAGATTGCACATCATGCGCGGAAATCGAGACAGATATTGACCATCCAAGGATCCAACTCGCTCCCGCCGAAGAAAAGGTGGTTACGCTATCATCTGCGTAGGAATGAGTACACAAGATTCCAACAGGAAATTTGTTGAACGCCTGTAGCGGGCGAATCGCCCGACACAGAGTGTAGAGAAACCCAACCCCCCAGTGTCGCCGTACCGAAACGATCTACGGAAACGTCGCCGGTCGCGACGGTATCCAGACCTTTCGCGATCTAGAGCCGTCAGAGGCCTTCTTCTTCTTGCTATGTATTTCGAGGATGATTCCGCACTCGAACTTTGGCTTCCGATCCATCCAATCTCTCTCCGTCCCTCCACAGCGCCCGTTTCGAGAACCACCGCGGACCGTGCTGTTGGAAGAAGAAGCACGGGTGCGATAGCCAGAGTCAGGAGTTGCAGTGACCGCAGTCGAGACGGCGCGCTCCGAGTGCTTGGTCGAGCTTTCGACGAAGCTCACACCCCGGTGACGAAGCACCCCCGGTTCAAAAGCATCATCCTTCCCCCAACCAAAGCAAAACGTAATGTCCCAAACGGCCCTTATCCCATCTCTTCTCGCTCCCTTCCCTCATCAAGTACCGTTTTCCCCAGACAGATCCTTTTCCCAAAAGACGTTCGAGCCCATAACACTCGGGCTCGCTCAGCTTCCCAACCCCTCTTCTTTGACCCGTGTCTAACACTCAAACCCTTCCCAGCGAGCTAAGCCAACAGGCCATTTCCTCCACTCCCTCGCTCCTCCTCTCCCCTACATGCTCACACCTTTCCCTCCCCCTCCACCCCACGCGATGTCGCAAACCCTCCCAGCGGCCGCGAATCCGCCATCGTGGACGCAGACGGACGCAGACGGGCACCCCAAACGCTCCCACCCGACCATCCGTCCAGGATGCACGGATCGTGCGGTTTTGAACGAGGAAGAGCAGCGTGGGAGGTGTGAGCTTTGTGGACGTGGACGTGGGCGGCTGAGGACGGGGTCGATGGGATGGGGTGTGAGGATGGGGTTTGAGAGTTTTGAGGGGGCGGGCGGTGAGGTGTTTTGGTCGCGGGGGAGCTTGAGTCGAGTTGTGGGAGGCGAGGGCTGGGGTGGAGATGGATGGGTGCTTTTTCCTTTGGTGGAGATGAGGGGGATGCTGGGGATGGTGGTTTTGTTTCACTTGGTGCGGGTATTGAAGCGTTGACACATTCTTCCGGGAGAGTAGAGGTGGATTAGGTTGGTCAGCGAATCGTCATCGTTTTAGTCGATAGAGTTGGTCGAATGGAGTGGATAGTAGATGAGAATGAAAACTGTCGAGGAGAGTTGAAGACGGGGATGCTTCAAGATGGTTGCATCTGCGCGTTTTATCTCGATCGGTGTGAGTCCTGCACGAAGCATGTTTGACAGATTGGTACGCTACCCTACCTACGTGTGCTACGGCTCATACCGTCGATGATGGGTGATCTACTCCATCACCAACACACACCTAAACCTTGGGTGCCCAGCCAACATATAATCATACGCCTCGTTAGCTTTCGCAAGAGGGAACTTCTCAATCATGCACTTGACGCCATGAAGCTCTGCAAAGTCAATCGCTTCCTCGGAATCGAGGGCCTGGCCGGAAGGCCAGCCATGGACTGAAGCGCCCTTCGCGATCAGGGGCCCGGTGTTGACCGTGATCTCACCAATTGCTATCATGGTCAGTGGACCGCCTGTGTGAAATCTGGGGTGCAACTTACGAGCCAAAAGCACCAACTTCCCTCCCGGCGCCAACCCATTCACCAGGTCGCCCATGATTGCCGGAATGGGCGCCGTGCTAACGATCATCGCCGCACCACCCATCTTCGTCAAGGCCTCGGCATGATTCTCCTTGCTGCCATCCACATATACATGAGCGCCAAGATCCTTCGCAAACTTCTCTTTCGCACCAGTACTGGACAGCGCGATGACTTTGTAGCCCATTTTGTTCGCATACTGCAGGGCCAAATGTCCGAGCCCCCCGAGACCTTGGATAGCGACGGTTTCACCGCTCGTAATTTTCATCTGGCGCATTGAGTTGAAGACGGTGACGCCGGCGCAGAGGAGAGGGGCATAGCTTGCAGCGTCGACGTCTGTGGGGATGTGGACGGCGGCTTCAGAGCGGAGGGTGCAGTATTCGGCGACTGTTGTTCAAATCAGCAATCTGAACGTTCTCGTGATTCCGTGGAACATACATCCACCATCGCGGGTCACGCCGTTGATTTGCTCATTCACGCAAGCCTGGTTGAAGCCCCGTTGGCATTGCTTGCAGGTTCCTGTAGTGGATGGTATTAGGCCGATGTTGATGTGGGAGACAGATATGAGCTCCAACCATCATGTCCACCGTGCCAAGCTCCACCAACTCTATCGCCGACCTTCCACTCTTTCTCGTGTGGCCCGACGGCCACGACATGACCAATGATTTCGTGACCCGGGATCCTCGGGCTACCACTCATCAGTACTGCTGCAGAGCATTGCAAAAGTCCATGCGTACAATGGAGTTCCAAACATAGCTTGCTGAACCACAACCTCGGAGTGACAAACACCGCAAGCCTGGACCTTGACAAGAATCTCGCCTTCCTGAGGCTGCTTGGTCTCGATCTCCTCAACAATAAGGGGCCCACCCTTTTCCTTGAACATAGCGGCCTTATGGGTCTTGGGGATTTGAGGAGCCATGCCGATTGATGTTTTAACTGTCTCGACTGAGGGAAGGCTGTTGCGGAGAGCTTCCAATGACATATGTTGTCGCTCTAGTTTCAATGGGTGCTGGCGACGAATTTTATAGCTGGAAAAGGATTTGTAATAGACACCGAGACGTAGAACCGAGCTTTATAATGAAGAGCGCTGATCTGTTGGATATGCTGGTGTTGATTATAGAGCATGCTTGCCTCGGGTGTTTAGTGAATAATTGATCGGTATATCTCTTGTTGAATGCCGGCAGCCCAAGAGGGCGGCCTGAGTGAAGTGGTGGGGGGAACGGCGGACATAAGGTAAGTCCATGGTGCATGACGTTGTCAAGGAGTACTCTAGCTGCTTACCAACCCAGTCATTTGCTGTGGGACAGCAATGATTCTCCCATAGGCTGATTAATCTCTTAGGCTTCTTTTCGTTCCTGAACCAAAATCTGACATGCCAGCAGCAGCTTCGAGACTCGCCAAAAATTCATCTCTGCGGCCGAAAGTCCCGGGCAGCGCTAGTGAAGCCCTAACCCTACTTTCCGAAGGCAGGCCTGTACCCTAGAAGTATTACCTACTTGATCTCGGAGCGCATTAATTGAGCTTTAGGGACTCCTACTGGGCGATCTGTAGGCAATAGGCCCCAAACTGTGCGAACTCCGAAGCAGATTCAAGCGCACTGTCACCCCTTCAGGCTGGGCGTTGACCCAGATCTTGGCGCAGGATTGGCGTCCAGGACTTTCGGTGCAGAGCTCCGTCACAGATATACGAATACGAACGGCCCAACAGATATTCCGAGTTTCAGGAATCATGGTGACGACATGATGCGGCTTCAGCCAGCAATGTTCACGAGGCTTCCTGAGTCTTAAAAGGCAAGACCGCGTCCCAGTTTCATCTCAACTTTAACGCTTCATCAAAAATGAGCATGGGCATCTCATACTCCACTGCCAAATGGCTGGTAGGTCATCAAGCTATGCCCACTCGCTTGAGCTGTACTGACTTGCTTAAAGGCGCCAACATGTTTCCTCTTCGACTTTGCAGCCCAGCAGTATGGCTTGTTCTCCTCTCCCAACATGCTGGACGTCCATAACGCGAACCTATCTTTCTGGAGCCCCATGCCCCACTTTATTGGTGGCTTCTTCTTCCCCCAGCAGCTATTTCAGCTCGCGTGGCTCTACCGCTTGTACAAGCTTGATCCCAAGAAGCCAGTCGAACGCAGCGAATTGGATCAGATCGGTAAGATCCCGGTGAGAGTCATTTTCAAACCTGGACACAAGGCTGACGAAAGTTCGAAGTCGACTTTGTACCATATTACTCCCTCGGCAATATCTGCATCGGCAGTACGTTCTTCCATACCTCCCCACTCTTGATCACTGGCTGATATCTCCTTATCTCTTCAGCTTGGATGATATTCTGGAATACGGAGCAGCTTAAGATCTCCAATATTTTCGTCGTCGTCAACAGCCTGACTCAGCTGTACTATGTCTTCGCCAAACTCCCTCCCATGAATACCAAGTCCACGAGCTCGATTCTTACGAATATTGTGTCCAAGACGTTCGCGGGTATCGGGGTCCTTGACCTCCTTCACAACGGCAGCGTTGCTTACTTCAAGGACGCTCCTGCAACCATGACCGTCAAGGTTTTGACTGGGCTTGGATTCGGCATTGCCAGCGCTGCCAGCGATTGGATTTTTGGAGGATGTATGGTATACGATTTAGTGGCGTTGGCCGCTGGTCAAAGCGGAAGCTGGAGGAATTTGCTGGCGTTGTACGCAGTGGGAGCTGCGGGCATCGTTGGGGCGAAGAACATGGCCAGGTAGGTAAGAGACGTGTCTACTGAAACCTGGGCTGGATCAACGCTCACACGATGACCCAGACCACCGTACAATGGGGAGGATTCTGGATACAAGCAAACAGCAACAGAGGACATTCAGGACCGAGTATGATGAGGATTTAGATTCGTAGCAAAAGTATTTAGGGGATAGCCCGCAGACGATGAAGTTTTTGCAAGGACTGTTAGCACTCTCTCCGCTCACTCTGCTTGATAGCAACCTGAGAGAAGTAAGACCATGCATGACCTGTGAGCTCTAGAATGGAAGAAGAATGTAAATGTGTCGCTATTGAGGTAAAGCCACCGGATCTAGTCGGGATCAGGCAGTTTGGGAATGTAGAAATAGCCTTATCTCGGAGTTATTCTTATCAAACTCTCATGGTGTTCGCCCCCCATCAACTCATGACCACTCAAGACAACGGAACCAGAAGCGGAAGACACGGCGACCATGGCGCAAAAGGTCATGCAGTCAGTTAACAGATTGCCTATCAGACTCCAGATCGTGCAACCTTACGTCAAACCCTCATCCCATATCAAGACATCTCTACGCAAATCCGGGTTACCGTCTTCCCTTGTCCAGGCGTCCTTTTCTCTTCTGAAGGCTGATCATTCAGTATGACCTGAAGCGCTCGTGCCTTCTCTTCCTCTATTTTCACTCTGTTTAAATCTACAGTCTTCATGCATTGACTGACGGCGTTGGGCTCTGATCATCAAAGGCTCGCACTCCTTTCTTTGTCCTGCTTGTTGCAGCATTCAAGTCAGTACTAGTACAGGGTTCTGGTTGACAGCATTCCTATCCGTGTTCATTTTTCATAGTAGCCTGTTGAGGCGCTACTATTCCTCATAAGCTGCGGTATGACTCACCCTGACAGCTTCATCATCCTCTGCAACAACTATTTCTCCAAAGGAGTCATAGACTGTGGTCAGCTCAGCCGCAGCTCGTCTGTCAGACCACATCATCAATTCCAACAGATATCTCTCGACCGCCTCATACCCTCTGATGCAATAGCAGACACATGGACCGCATTCGTCTGTTGCTCCCGCCCTGAACACACCGAACGCTGCAATGTCTCTGTCATCCCTTCTAGGGACCTGGGCCAACCTACCAGAGCACTGCACGCCTAACAGCCAATACCTCGTCAACTTCTCCTCCGCTTTCCACTCTTGCGTACCCACATCCCTCGCCTTTCTATCCACGGCCCTCGGCATCTTCAGCATCATATCATGGCTCTTCGCCCAGATGCCCCAGATCTACAAGAACTATCAACTACAATCTGCCTCGGGACTGTCTATATATTTTTTGGGTGAATGGCTACTGGGGGACTTGACGAACTTGCTGGGTGCCATTTTGACAAGGCAAGCCGGTTGGCAGGTGGTTGTGGCAGGCTACTACGTCTTCGTGGATATTGGGCTGGTCTCTCAATACTTTTGGTATACCCATCTGAAGTCGTCGAGGAAAGGGAGACTTTTGGGATATGGTTCGGAGACCCACGGACCGGACGGTGGCTCGGGAGAGGTTCTAGTCGGTGTTTCGCCGTCTGTTGAAAGTTCGACGGAAAGCACACACACCGAAGACAGAAAACCTGACACAAAAGCCTTAGATACACCCGCTAAGCCCCAAGGTGTTCAAGGTCCGCCGCGAGACATCAGATCTTCTTTCTCCAAAGAAAAGGATACAATGGGCTCTTTCAACCGAACCATCAAGCGTCAGGGCACTCCTTCTTTTGGTCCTTCACCGAGAGCACTGCTACTGATTTCGATGCTCTGCGTCGTTTTGACAAATGCTTCTCCGCTGCATGCACAAATCAAGGACGAATCATCTACAGTTTCCTCGCCAGAATTGGCAGGCCGTATATTCTCATGGTGCTCCACCGTCCTCTACCTCGGCTCCCGCCTTCCCCAAATCTACAAAAACGCACTTCGCCGCTCCACCGCTGGCCTCTCGCCAACCCTGTTCATCGCTGCCTTTTTCGGGAATCTTTTCTACAGCGCCTCTCTGCTCACCAATCCTCTTGCTTGGGAGTCGTATCCGCCATACGGCCTGCACGGCTGGGTCGGTCCGGAAGGTAGTGACAGGGCTACATGGGTAGCTCTGGCTGCACCCTTCTGGCTTGGCGCTGCTGGCGTTTTAGCACTCGATGCGACCATAGGTATACAATTCTTGATATTCGGCGAGGGCGGTCTGGAGAAGTCTGTCCTGACTCAAGACCGCGAAGGCAGAAGTCGATGGCGAAGGGTAAGTGGTTGGATGAGAGGATGGGTGCCTAGTCCAAGTCCTCCTGCTAGCGAAGATGTGGATGAGGGCGAAGGAAGACGGCTGCTTGGCCGAAGGGAGAGTCGCGGTAGTAGCTACGGCGCTGCTTAACCGGAATCTCAGGAGATAGTTGCCTTGCGTCTTTAGGTTTTCTTAGCGTCTTCGCATCTTGTTTACTTGCAGTCTCGGTGAGCATCGCATGGGCTGGCGTTCGCGGAATTTGCTAAGGGCCAGATGCATTCGAAGGTACAGGAATTGGGCTACATAGCATCTTTGACGTTGTATTGTCATACCCAAGTACAGCATCTCACTGTGTTTCAAACTGCATTCTATGGATCATCGATCAATTCGTATCACTTTCTGGCAAATGCAAGAGCCTTTATTCCCTTTCACAGCACTAAGCTAGTAGTTTTTCAGTTTTTATGTTGTCCGAGAAATACCGGTATGGGTCTGCGCTTAGCGCCAGAAACAGTGCAATTGTCCATAGCAGCTTCACTTCATTGTTCGACTTGATTCGCCAGTCGTCATTCGAAACATTGTCTTACTAAGCTCGATGTGATTGGATGTACTTTTGTGTAGCCGACGAAGGGAAAAATCACCGCTTCTCCTCTGCAAATCCCCCAAAATATCAGCGGAGACTGTGGCGCTCGAGTCTGACGCTAGTAACTTGCCAGGAGAAAGGATACTAAAGCAGATCTACGTTGATACTCCTTCGTCGTTGATCTGCCCAATAACCTGTACAGACAGCCAGCATCCGAAGATGTCTTCGACGGAGACCCCATTCATCGTGGTCATCTGCCATGGCTCCTACCACACCCCTGAACCCTACCGACCTTTCCTCCCCGCTCCAAAAGCGCAGAACATCCGAATCCTACCGCCCACAGCTGCCCTCGTCCGACTTCCGCAGAATAAATGTCGGCGACGTTACCAACCCGCATTACAACAGCGATCCACCACCCAGCGGGCATCCGCAGCCCGCCGACGCAGCAGCAGTCCTCAACGAGCTTCTGAGCCAGCTCATCCTCCGATCCGGCAAGCGTGTCCTTCTGGTCCGACGTTCATCGGGCGCCTTTACCGCTACAACGGTGGCTGTCCCGGAACCCCAAGCGCGGACGCGCAAGGCAAAGGGCGCCTCGGGAGGAACCATAGGTATCTTCTCCGAGTGCGGATCCTTGATCCCAATGGGCGAGTCCGTACGCAGCTTCTCTGACAGCCCAAAGACGGCAGCGCGCCCGTCATCCCGCCCTAACCGCCGTTTCCACCTTCGTCTCCCTTGCCCCAACGGGGGCCATCTCGGCCCCTGATCCCTCAACCTTGTGTATAGTAAGATACATCTGAATCGCGTCGGCTTCAATGTAAATCACCGGCTAAATTGTCACATAACCAAAATTCCAGAACCACGCCTCGCCTCCACCCAAGACGGCGCCAAGTTCTTCTTCTTCTTCTCCAACGGCCTCGACGCCGCCACAACAGAAAACAGCCACGGGGCGACCTCGACGGCGTCGCCCGTCCTGACGTCCGTGCTGACCATTGCTTCCGTCCGCCTATCTCGTGACGGAAGACGATAGGGCTTTGGCGCCGGCTTACCGGGATAGGATGCTTGCGGTGCAGAATCTGGAGAGCTGGGGTATGTGTGACGGTGTTTAGGTGTCCGGCGGGGCATTCGCCGCATCTGACGTGGAGGGTGGGGTTGGTTGGACGGGTGGGGTGCTTGGGGAGGGGGAGGGGAAGGGGGGAGGTTGGCGTTGCGGGGTGGTTCTGGGCAGTTGGGTTGCTCGGCTTGCGAGGGATGGGGAAGGGCGTGTAGGTCGCGCACTGTCACAGATGGCTCCATGTGATTGAACCATGCGATCACATAGATGGTCAGTAGAACGATGCAAACCAGGATTTCTGGCTCAGGTGAACGAGTACGTGGCATTGCGACTGCGCTATCTGGGTTACGGGCCCGCCCTCCCCAGCGTCAAAGTCTCCATCACAGGTCAAGAACGAAAATGTAAGCTACATGGGGTCCAACCGAAACGTCAACCAGAGTCCGACACATCCTTGAGCCGTTGGCATCCAGTGCGAGTCTACCCATCTGAGCTCTCTGGCTTCAGGCGCCGAGTTCCTTTATCCTAGCATCAAAGACTTGTCTCATCTTGATGTCCTTGTCCGGACCCTTCCCCTCCGCTCTGGATTCCGGAAGGCCATAGAACAGGGTGTCCAAGCGGTCGGTCTCCTTCACCTCTTCTTCTTCTCTTGCCTTGAGTATGAATTTCTTCAAACTTTCGGCGGTGGAATCATATTCCTTCTCGAGCCTGTCTTGCGTACCGTACTGCGCTGCTGCTTGCACAAAAGAGGCTCCGAATTCCACCCAGATGAGACAGTGTTCAGCCGTCAGAGTACCAGGGGCGCAGCGGAACTCTGGAAAGTGTTAGCATTGCATTCGTTCTGGCTACGAGCCACGTGACGCACCTATGGTCCCGATTTTCTCTTTCTCCTCTGTTGTGGCTTTCATTGTGTTCATGAAGTTCCACGCATAACTCCGAAGCGGAGTGGTCCCCGAACCGGGCCTCTCGAGTGGTTGCATCAAAGAAACGAGATGATCGGGGTCGACACATTCTTGGATGAGCTTGCAGCACTCTGCAAATTCAAGGTCCTTGAGCTTATAGTTGTTGGCTTTGTTGCTACTTGTGAGGTCATGCTCGCGACGGCTGGGCGCCCAGATGGCCTTGAAAGCCTGGTCGAAATAAATCACTGCCTGAGCAACTCTCTTAAGTTGCTCGGAGCTCCAGACCTTGCCTGCTTCGGGGGAAACGTGAACGTGTGTGGCGCAATCTTCATCGATATGGAATTCTCCGTATAGCAGTATCGTGTTCCAGTGATCCTCCACACCTTCTCTCCATGCGCTGTCAGGGTAAAAGTTGAATATCGGAGAGACAAATTCAAGAGGATCTGTACAGTTGTTAGGGTTATAATATCGATAAAGCCACGAAGAGGTGATGACTACGTACATCCCCAAACCGAATCATCGTCAGCTAATAGATCAGGGGAACCGATGGCGTCGTCCGTGGTAACGGTCCAGTGGCCGCTGCTGGTATGGCTGTCGTGGTGTCCAGGGTGGGATTCATGCTCGAAGTCCGCGCGTAGCAGAGCCTTACCACTCTTTTCATTGTAGAACTGAACAAGAGTATCGGCAAAGGCTTTGATTCGCTCGGGCCCTAGAGGTTGAGGCTCAGGACGATCAGACCCTTTCTCCCTCGCGTACACCTCGATCTCGACACCGATCCGGCAAGAGATGCCTGGCATGGCGATGTTGGAAGATCAAGGCGTGACGAGCTTAAGGATAGTTGCAATTTGGTGGCGCTGGGGGAATGGGATCCACAAGTGGAAGAAACTAAAGATGTATGCGTGAAGTGGTTGAACGAGATTCTGCTCTGGTAGTTATGAGAGGAAGGCTTCAACTCTTTACATGAGAGAAGAGTCAGGCAGTAGGAGCATCAGACAGTCCCCTGCCTGAACAAGACAAAAGACCATTGGTGTCAGCTACTCACTCCATATTGTACAGCACAACAGCCGCCATGTCAAATTGGCGTAGCCTCCCTGAAGGTGTCTCAGATCCGTCCTTTTCACTTCATTGCTCAAGGCGGCGGCAAAAGCCGTGCATTCACTTGTCAATTCTTTGTCGGACGGGCGACTATTGGTGGATGGAACCCAAGAAAAGGTAGCACGTGCGTCAAAGCAGTGGAATGAATTCATGTTTGAGATGCAGAGGTAGCGAGGCTGAGCCTTACAAGCAAGCCTGTCTGCCCTGGACCATACTCAAGGAAGCGGCAGCTATGCATTCATCCGTCACTTCTTTGTGTGACTGAAGAGTATTGGTGGATATAAATGAAGAAGTGACGGTACATGCGTGAAACGAAACGATTTTTGAAATGTAAAGATCACGAGGCTGAGCCTCACATGTAATCCTGCCTCGCAGGGTGCAGGTTTACCCCAAAAACTTTACTGTAATTGCATTGACTAACAGTGTGTCATTGATATGATTCATGTCGTGCTGTCTGCTGGGCAGACATCATTCGCGTGCGCATGGTACTGCGTTTCTATCACCCCGATCCTACCGGTTCTCCGATCTCGAAAGCAGCGACCTTGGTGTGTCGAGGTCTCAAGGAGTAATTGCGTTTGATCTACATCCTGGGTATTCGGTCAAAGGCATGCGTACCGTAAGCATCTATTCAGCGTAGGGCGACCCGACCCAAGATGTTGGCCAGCACCCCGAGTGCTCATGTGTGTGGTCCACATGATGACTATTTTGGCTCCCCTGCCTGTTTACAGGAGCAATGCTAGATCGCAGCGGTGAGACTCTGTCAACTTCAAGGGTGGAAAGGGTGTGAGGCACTTTGAAACGCGTTGTTTCAAAACAGGTCACTGCTCAACGGAGCCGTTGGGATGCCTTGCAGTGCTGATCTTGGCGCAAAACGTGTGGAACCTTCCATTACTCTAATTGAGCCGCAGGCAGCGAGAGTGAAGGGATAGTGAAGATGTGGTAAGTGTGACTAGTGTAGCCCGTGCAGGGGACAAAGAGTGAGACAATGAAGGGGCAAAAACGGTTATTAAGTATGGAATGGCGTGCTATGAAATTCAACTGCATCACACAATGACCTTAACAAGTTGACAAGAAGATGGCGAAGGAGCGGTAGCCTGGACCCAGAAGGAGAATTAGCTGCAAGAGAAGGGGAACCTCCTGTATGTATATAGATACCTACTACGTTGACAGGATAGCGTGCCGAGCATCAAAGCTCGATCAGCACTATCTCTGTCCTTGCACTCCTGGGAGACTTGTCCGTCGATGCGACAAAGCCATTGGTAAGATGTAAGGTCAAATGCGGTTGAATAACTGTCCAACTACAAAAGGCGAAACGGTCAATATGGCAAGCGCTACCTATGCAGCCCAAATACCCATACTTCCCAATGTGGACGCTTCCCAGAAGGAAAGTCAGAGGATCCTGCTCGTTTCAAGTTTGTCGGATTCTGTGCAAGAGCGAAATCCCGGGTGTGGAAGCCAAATAGAAACTAGCGTCAGACTCGTGTGTTAAAACACTCACTGTCAACACCGGCACTCAGCAACCCTTCAATTATCAATACCCTGGCAGCGCCATAGTCACGCCCTTATTCTGAAGGTAATTTTCAAGTCCAACGTGGCGAACGGCAACTTTGCCTCAGTACTATACTTGGAGATTTCGGGCTTCCCTCTATGCATGACTCATCACCTATGTTTTCTTCTCATACGAAGGTTATTGTCTCCACACTAACATTTTGTTTGTTTTGTTGTGTGGTCAACTGCAGGAGGAGGCGATAACATAAAATGGGAAGCTAGATGGGCGCTTAGCAACGAGACGCTGCCGCGGGGTTTAATGGCACTAGCAATGGTGGGCGGAATTACCAAGGCCTTTGCACATCTGCCACAAATTGTCATGTCTTATCCTATAGAGCAGGCTTGTGTTGCGCAGCCTGCTATTCTTAGGTAAATCATAATCAATTGTGTGCATTCAAATTGATCTACAGAGTTTTCTGGGACCAAGTCCACGGCGCTACGTTCATGCAAAAGAACCCTGAGAGGCAGAATGAAATCTTGAAAGAGGGGTAGGGGAAGCTGCAGCCTACCCAGTATACACATGAAACCAATCAAGTCCCCTCTCATGTGCTATATCCGAGAACTACCTCAAGTTTCGACCAGAGGTCTGTGGCTTGATCCGCGGCTGCATTCTCCCACACGAGAATCTTTGCAAAACGCACCGTTTTAGTCCTCCATTGTGTTCAGTCTTTCAATGTCATTTCTACCTCAAAATTGCTCATAGCTTGAATCGAAACTCAGGGATATTTCATCGGCGCTTGTCCCACCCAAGACGTCAACACAGTTCCCCACCCTACCACCAAGGATCAAAGACTCGATACAACACACCCCAAAACCTCCACTCATGGCCCCGAATCTTCTCTCCGGCGAAGAAGTCTACGGGCAATCATCCCACCGCCAGTACTCCACGGACACCTTCCCACGCCCATACTTTTTCTACGGCAGCCTGATGGACCCACAACGACTTTCCGAGATTCTACGATCGGACATCAAACATCTCTCAAGCTTGCGACCGGCGCATATCATAGGCTACCGCTGTAAGCTGTGGGGGCCATATCCTGCGCTGGTGTATGCGCCGGATGCGGTCACGCACGGCATGGTCTTGGAAGTGCAGGACGAGAAGCAGGTGGAGCGGTTGCAACATTATGAGACGAGCAATTACCGGGTGCAGGCATGTACGCTACGTTTTGAAGATGGGAGTGAGCCGAGGGGGGAGACGTTTATGTGGGACGGTGAGGAGGGAGAGCTGAGGGAGGGGACATTCGATTTGAAAGCTTGGCAGAGGTTGGAATACGGAGGACACGCGGTCCACGGAGATATTACTGGAGCACGGCAAGCGGAAGTCCCTACGGGAACGGACGTGCTTATAGAGACTACGCCGGGAGCGCTTGATAGAGCAAGGGTCGGAGTGATGAGGACACGGAAAGCTAGTTAGCTCTAAAGTTGAAAGGAGATGAGTGCGTGGATGACAACTCGAGGGGTGTCGATTACCGATTTCCTTCATCCCATCGGTGAGGACATTGCGTGTCATGTCGCCCCGGGGGGCTCCGGCTCACCTCACGCCTACCTCCAGACCTAGGAGGTATCGATATCGTTATCGGCGCTCCACTTCCAGGTCCAGAATAGGCTGGGAACGTGGTTCCAAGGATGTCGCGATGATCCATACCTTTCTCTGTTGCTGCTTGAAGTATGAATCGCTTCAGACCTCGGGCATTGGAGGGATGTCCATTGAGCCATTGCTGCTTGCGCGAAAAAGACTGCGATTTTCACCCAGATGATACAATGCTCAGCCGTCAGAACACCAAAGGCGCGCTAGTACTGACTGAGCTTTCTATTAGTCCCAAACTTGTCAGGCTCCAACGTTTCAAAGTTCCAGTCAAAGGTCACTTAGCGCGTCCGGCGACATTCAGAAGATGAATGTTCAATGGATATTTGGAAAGTGGAGGTCTCAAGGCTGAGTCTTAGAGATGAACCTGCTTCGCGTGGGGTATGTCCAGCTGTCAAACTTTCCTTATCACTTGCTTGATGACAATCCATTGATATGAAATGAGTTGTACTGTTGGAGAAGGTGTCTCCTGGAAGTTATACGAAATTTATGCGCCTCAACCACCAAGTTTGACGCAGAGTTCTGTATCCTCTGTCTCGGGATCTTGGCTCCCCAGTCAGTACCCTCATCTTTGAGTTGTCCCATCATGTAATTCTGGCAGCGTTCCTTTTTTTCTCATTTCCCGCCCGAAAGCTTCTGCTGCAGAAAGCAAAACCAAATCGCGCGGTAGCGAAAAGGTTACAATTAGACAGGCTCCTGATGAGGATTCAACAACATCAAGGACACGATCCATCTTTGCATCCGCCACTATTCACGCTCAGTCTAGTCCACGTCAAGCGCAAATCCTCTCGAACATCGCCCTAGCCCTCTCTCCCCAATTTTGGGGAATTGGCTGCTCTTCAGGCCCAACCTCGTAAAGCTTGAGCTGTGACTGGGTCTCGTTCATTAAGTTCCTTTTTTCAAGTCTGAGTAATTACACGAGTCTAGGTAAGTATTCACCGACTACCATTCACCAGTCTCGTTTTTCAAGTCTCATCACCCACTAGCCCTCATTCCCTCCAGTCGGAGAAGTTGCCGATCCCATTGCCACGAGACTGGGTAGTCACTGCTCTGAGTCTTTCACAAATGTCGTATTCATTGTCTGGAAAGAGCTTCGTCTGCGGCATTCTCAAGTATTCAAGCGGTCAAACCTTTCGTCTTACTTCTGCGTCGCTCTCCTTGGGCCAACAGTGCTATCCTTTATCTACTTAATATCTCATCGAACGTGGTTGGGCTTGAGAATCTCTTCCTAGCCTCCGCGATGCTCGGGGAAGTATGTCATGGAGACTGCGCTGCGTACAGGCTACTCTCGTCGGTCTTCGGAGCAGTCTTAGATTGATCATCGTCTAAATTGCTAAAACAAGCTGCTCATTCCGAAAGCAGATCCATTTAAACATGCTTCATCCGCAAATCTCGAGACTTCATCTGTTGCATTCAGTTTCAGGACGGGGGATTCACGACCTGAGAGAATTCACCTTCGGCATTCTGGGGTTATTTCATCCCCAGTTCTTTCCGTCCTTCCTTCTACAACTCTCTCTCTCCCGGATCAAAATATGGAGCTACTTTGTTCGATCTAGCTTATGCATTCGTCCATTCTTAATTCGTAAGACTACGTCTTCATCTTTTACCTTCATCTTCAGGATGAGGGACTCATACCCAAGCGAATTTACCTTTAGCACTTTGAGGTATCTCAACACCCATTCCTCCCGTCTTTATCTCTGCGATTACATCATCTTTAGTACCAAAGATCTTGTGCAGGGTCTATCTTGTCTCTACCGCTGGTATAAATTGTAATTGAGGTGCTCAATTTTGTCTGTAAGAACTAGTTTTGTACATTGGTAATGATGTTCTCGTCACCTCATCTCTGATATGGTTCACATACTTCCCGGGAATCCAAAACCGGTTCGGTCTGATAAATTCCTCTCTACAAGGGTGAGGGTCTCAGCCTGTCACCTCCCTTCTCAGCGTAATGCATACATATATAAGAGCCTAACAAATCCCCCCTTGCTTCCAAGGCTTTCCCCCTTTCCATCACTAGCAGAGTTCCCAGTTCGGACACCATCAATCATGATAGCTGAACCAATCGGTCGCACCTGCAGAAGCTATCCCTCATGACCTACTCCATGTCTAACGGAAGCATGATCTTAGGCGGCAGAAGTGTTCTTGAGGAGACCTTTGGTACCCAACGTGATCCTCGGATTCGCCTTGACAGCGATGACAACTACTTCTTAACTCACAACTGTACATTCAGCTTTTATCCTCCTTTAAATATAGGTTCCTTTGTTCGAGAACAAGGTGCTCGTTTCTCCGGTATTCCAGGTACTTCCCCATTCAGTTCGGACTTGCAAACGTAGCCTACTGACCACTGTCTCATAGCTAGGCAGCATCACCGAATCAGATCAGTGCCGACGGCACAGTAACGGCGGTATGTCACACTGGCAGACCTTGCCATCGACCGGTCCGCCGAGAATGAGTCTGAAATATCAACTCACTTACCTCATCAGCCTTGAAGCTGCAACCAGACAGCTCCACAGTGCTTCTCAAACCACCATTCAGCTACTTGGGTATCTGAAAGTTTGCTAGAATTCTTTCGGGGACCTCACCGACTGCCTTTCTACACGTTAAGCAGAGTTCAAGACTTTGAAGCCATTCATCCTGCCAGAAAGCAAGACAACCAGTACAGCGGCTGCTGACTCGCTGCTCCTGCCATTGCTTCGAACCAGAACAGAGTAAGAAGCATCTCGTCAATCACATAGCTTCACCACTCACAACCATCAACAGGTTTTGACTCGCAATCATTGACATGAAGATCATGGCAACCCAGCTTCGCCGCACGCTCCACAGCTTCTGGCAAGCAATCACTGGCCTTCCAAACGCAGCAACCCAGCTTTCTCGGAGGATACACAGATTTTGGCATGCGACAGAACGCATTCCGGCCGTCGCAATACGCCCACCCGCCATAACCTTCTCAGATTCGATCTTACTACCTTCGCTATACTTGATTTTGAAGACAAAAAAGAAGGTGATCGTCTCCATTTCAAGTTTTCAACCGTATCGGCGTTGAAGCTCGTGAAGAAGATGGGGACCAGACGGGCAAGTTCGTGTCCCACTTCTGGCCATAAGTTATCACGCGCTGCTGCTTCTGGCGTCGAACACAAGCTGCAGAGAAATTTGACGACACAAGTGGTGCGTCAAATCAATCTCCTGGAATTTCACAATTCCCCACTCAAGAGAGCACAGCCCTATCTACAATGTCAAACTTTGAAGCTCTTTATCATGGGTTGTCCTATAAGTCTCGAGAACTTTTGCTCAATCTACTTCGTGAACTCCACACTGCAGACGATGGTCAACAAGCACTCCATCGAAGCTGCCCTTAATTCCAACACTGAGTTTTGTCTCATGTGAGTCTTTCATCTCGGCTCCTGAGACTAGCTTTCGGTTTGAGTGGGTCATCAATGATATATTGTATTTTTCTTTCAAATTTCATCTACTACTAAAGCAAACCATCAAATGGATCCCTGCCTACGAAGAAGGTCAAGCCACCTACCAAAGCACCCTGACCCTAACCCTAACCCTGAAAATCCTTCTTTTTTACATATTTCTTTCACTATGCTTCGTATAAGACGATTCTCAGAGACGCAGGAGGGTGAAACCCAAGTTGACCAGCTGCCTGAATGCTCGATAACATTGAAATGGCGAAACGGAGTCGGATGGATTAGTAACTTGACAGATCCGATTTTCACCGATATAGTTGACTGATGACAAATAGAGCAAGCTGTCATTCCGATCGCTCGCCCGAATGTATAAGTTATCGGTAAGATACCAGATCTACTAGCGGCTATTTAGTGACGCAAGGCCAACAGCAGATAGTGACCATATGAATCAGGTCATATGTGACGAGGAGATTTATTCAAGCGCACAACTTGATGAGAATGGCTCACGAACTGTTGCCCTTTCTCGACAAGGAGGAACAAAAGGCCGAAGCAAAGAGTAAAGAGCCGAAAGACCTCGAGGCTTTCATGAACGAGGAACGCAGTGCGATCGCCAACAATGTCGCGCCCGCGGACGAGGCTTACTCCCAATTTCATCAGAAATCTCCACCGCTTACAACCCTCTGTCCTACGCACCTCAAACTTCAAGATGCGGTTTCTCCGCTCCGGTTTGACGGTCAGCTCGTGAAACGACGAAATAGATTACCCGCCGACATGGCTTTCGCTGAAGATGACTACTTTTCACTATTGTAACATCAGGTGGGTAGTCGTTATTATTGTTACGTTGTTTCTATCTACTGAAGGAAAGTGCTAAAGGGTTGATTCGCTAAGCAAAATGATGGTGTCATCATTTAGCCTGACAGCTCGTGCACCAGCCGACCCGAACCCCCAGCAGACGACAAGAGCCGTATGAAAGATGAGGCGAAAGGTCAACAGCACCGATGGACAGTCGAGAAGGAATTGCAAGGCACTATGAATATGAGAAGTATCGAAAAGGTCACTTGAATTTATGTTATGCAGCAATGGATAGTAGGTCAGAAATTACTCCGATACAAGACATACATAGTTACAGATCTTCATGCCCAGAGCCTCTACGATGTTTCAACAAGAACAACGAGCTTTTGCCTTTCCCAGGAAGTCAGCTTCAGAGATCTGCCAAGCATCTCTTCACCAGCGTTGCTTGTGTGTTATCCATCCTACTATGGTTAGATTTGAACTGACATTTTACTCCAGTCTTGCATAATCTTGGGATCATACTCACCGATATAAAGCCGGCAAATGTCGTCCTCGTCGGCCACTTATATACAATAGAGCTTATTATTCCGTCTTGATCTACTACGGTGCAGCGCTTTAACACGGCGTTGTATACGCTATGGATAGTTCTTGTGGTTGTACTGCCTGTCGCAAAGCCGACGAAATGGATACGAAGAAGGCTGTTAACAAATCGTCTGATTAATAGTCTTCCTTAGTGACAGAACAGATGTTTTCTCCTGGTACGGAATTCAGTGTCGTACAAGATAAATGTGCTCACCTACCCGTTGTCGTTCCTCTATCCCTACAAGCCATTGGTTATCCGTCGTTCCACAAGTATACAGTCAATGGTTTCTTGGTTCGACTTCTCGATTTTTCTTGGTGAATCCTGGTGTTCCTGTAGAGCGTGGATCCGAAAGGGTCTAAAGAGGAAATGGTGCCGGTAAGAATGGCTCCGAAAGTACTTCAAGAGAAGCAGGTAGAGTACCCGCAAGCGTGACTGAGTGGAGGAAATCGGCTAAGAAACGGTGTGCTTGGGTGCTATCAAAGACCTGGGCTCTCAAGAGAAAGTAAATCCGGCATCCGGTTTCGAATTCAAACGTGATCTTGGTTTACGAGTCATCCACGAAGAACAGAAAGTCACGTCAACCCTGCCTGTCGATATCATGCCCTCGAGGCGTTGATCGCTGATGAGAAGTGGTGCTGCGAAGTCGTGGACGCCATATATCCTTCACGCTTTCACTGAATTGTGGAAGCTGAGTGGGTTGGCCGGGAGTGAATGCTCAATGGTCTGGTCACTGCGACGGGTTTGCACAGGGAAGCGATGCAGCTAGTGAGCTTCCATGATGCGGATGTCAATCTCTGGATTTATCGGGCGCGTCTGCAGGAGGATCATGTAGAGGGTGGAAATTGTGCATTAGAGGGGACAAGCGATCCGAAACTGGCTTGATCGAATGCAAATGGAATACTCTCCGCCTTTCCAAGGCAATTTTAAAGTCGGAGGGAATCGAAGACTTAGGTGGTCAGTGTGAGGCAGGGTTTGGAGAGGAAGCGAGGCGTGTGGTGCGTATATGGCGGTCTTAGCGGGGTTATTGATGTGACTCAGATGAGAGACAGGTCAAGGGGCTTGTGTCCGGGGGTCAAAGGCTGCGCTGGGTAGTCGTTTTTGGTGTACTGTTTCCCGGGTTTCTCCTTTAGCCTAGGCCTAGCGCTTCAACGGTTAAAGCTTTTCAATTTTCTATAGGCCGAGGAGCCTTGCGCAGTTCTGAGGACTAGATAATCAGTTCTTTGGAGGCGAAGATGAGGGAAGAGATTCAACAAGTATTGAAGGCTGCTTACAAGGCAAAGCTAGCAAGTGTCAATCTGCTTGATTGACGCATGGAGCTATGGACAGTCACTGAAGACCATGTTGCTATGGAATTGCTAGTTCTTTGGTTTCCATTTCAGGCAAGTTCGGTGATACTAGACTCAGAGCTTGATTCATTGGCTCAAGGCTTGATTCTTTGCTACAATTCTAACGACATTACGACATCATGCTGGTTTTCCTTTTGCTTGGAGGAGGAAGGGTCGCTCATATGGCAGACGGTGCTACTTCATCAGCCTTTGTCAATCTCGCATGGTAGCTCGCATATCAAAAGGGGACGCTTGTGGAAGTGGCGTATTTGCTACGAGTAGGCCAAACATAGCTAGCTCGGCCAGATACATAGCAATTTCGTAGCAGGCAATACGATCATCTGGACACACCACAAGAACGACTTTCACAAATTGGAGCCGAATTCTTCAGCAGGGTTACACTTTCAGAACTCACCAACCTCCGTACCATCGCTTACAATAGCCATCTACCTTGGCTGCCTCGACATTTGCACACTAATTTATTCTTAACGGCTTTCTCCTGCTCGAAGGAGCAGAGCTCACCATATGGGGTTCGGCAGCGACCTTGTTGAGGCCCAGAAGGCGAAACAGGTTATTACCGAATTCGAAAGAAACACGGCGGCCGATCAACAGGCAAGGAATTCAATCGCGACGCTGAAATCTAGGCATGCAGTCAGTACGCCTAAAGAAACGGATCGATAAAGAGTCGACACGCCGAAGGAGACGGGCGTCGAGGAAGATGAAGGCTCCGACGCTAATGAGTGGGCTATGGCCTTGATATCAAAAGTGAGAAAGATTGGTTGGGTCAGTGACCACGACCTTAACTTGAGTAAGTGACTGGTTGGCGAGCCTCTCGTGACAGGAAGCGACGTGTACTGGGCGGTTGAGAAAAGACAATGGACTCATCGCATAATTGTGTTCATCTGGCTGCAAGGCGACATTCGTAAGGAATTATCGATGGCGTATCCCCCAATGTTGGTAGACTGGCCAACCAAGATAGACAAAGATGACGCCGAGACCTGGCCACCCGCCAACGTTCTCCTCTCCGATCTGGTCGTTTGGAAGGCATCTGCCAGCAAGGTGCCACAGCGGGAAAGGAATAGAAGATGGCCGAAAGTATTTTCAGCTGACCTCGCTCCCATCAGAGTCGAAGTTTCCGCGGTTTCGATCGATGGCAGACAATGATAGAGCATCGGTCAGAGAGCCTTTGAGATTGGGTTACTTATCGGTTTCATCAATGCAGTGTAATTAAGAAGATCAGAAGAGCCAACGGGAGAAGTTCGAAGATCACTTTTCGGTTCTGGATTCAACCTTCCTCCACTGTGGGTAGGAACTCTAGCTTTCCTCCCTCCAAACCCGGCCCTCGTCTGGGCGCAACTTCGCCAGTTCCCGTTATTTTGTCAAAAGCAAGCATGTGCCACTCTGTTTAGTGTGGGACCCATGACCATCCTTTATTTTGTAGTCTGCAGATATTTGAGGATAGTCCAATCAAACACATTATCGTGATTGAAACCCTCGCGTACGAAGAGATCACGGAAGATTTTGCGCAGATAGGAATACTTAGGTTTATCGTCAAATCCCAGGGAGCGGATGTAGTCAAAATAAGCCGCGAACGCCCGAGGCAGACCCTCACACAGTTCTTCAACACTGATCGTCTGCTTCTTCTCCAAAATAAGCTCCTCCCTTTGCTCATGATTCGCGGCCTTGAGACCTTGCCAGGGAAGAGAGGGCCGAATGAAGTAGAGAAGCATATATCCTAGAGATTCTAAGTCGTCGCAGCGATGTTGTACTTGGGTGATTGTGAGTTATTTGAACGGCAAGAGGTCAGGATGTTGCACTTACCAACACCTAAATGGCCGTTGACGCTGGCAAAACGTGCTGTGCCAACCAAGCTGGGACGCAGAGAACGACCGGTGTTGGCGTCCGCCTGAGCAGGACGTCGTTCCGTCGCGAGACCCAAGTCGGTCACATAAACCTGGTTTCCCTGCTTCCCCACGCCCATCAAGCAGTTCTCCGGCTTGATGTCTCGATGGATGACATCGTGGGCATGGATATACTCCAGACGACAAAGGAGTTGGTCGACAAGCATCAAGACTGTCTTGAGAGAGAATTTGCGACCGCAGAAATTGAACAGGTCTTCCAAACTCGGACCCAACAGATCAAACACCATGGCGTTATATTCGCACTCGGTCACATAGGCGTGCACTCGTGGAATACCGGCACCACCAGAAAGCGATCGGTAGATATCAGCTTCACACTCGAGGAAGGAAGGATCGACGGAGACGTGTTCGAGTTTGATGGCAACCTCGTCACCGGAGTCGACATGGGTTCCTTGAGCGCCGTGAGTGAGTCTCAAGAAGCGACTGTGACCAGACGCATCCGTGATTACCTATATAGACAGCGCCGAAACTGCCACCACCGATCTTCTCTCGCAGCCGATACTTATCGGCGACGCGTAAATCCTGATGTTGATGAGTTGTTAGTATAAGCCTTGTTAGTAGTGCAAACCCTGAATGGGGACAGCCAATTGGCTAGGGGTGGAAAAGAGGTAAGATAAAAGGCAAAGTCACTCACCAAATTCGCCATATCGATCGAATTGACAGAGGATAAGTGCTCACGCCATCATTAGACCGACTTGAAAATTGTCGCAGATGCTAATTGAGCCATGTACCTTAGCGCGTAGATACACTTAGCATTGCTTGGCAATGGTCCTTTGTTCTGATTGGTTGATGGTGGTTGCACGACGCGCGCGCTTATCTAGACATGTCGTTCAATTCAATTGCCTGTTTCATAGAGATCAAGGTCCAATGCTTCTAGGTAATATGATCTATTGATATATATATATCTATAGCAGTTCTAGGCAGAAGCCGTTCTCCGTTGAATGGCTACCCGGTTGATTGGCTGTCAGCTCCGCAATGCGAATAACACAGAACACAGTGTTGTTGCGCGAGGCGCGCGCAACCTACACCTCCGCATCTGATTGTTCCCTACCTATCATCCATTTGAGCTGGTCGTTTCAAGAACATTGACAATCAATGCCTTCACAAAAGACTCCAGCGCCCCGAAATCAAAAGCGACAGCTGTCAACTAAAGTAGAGCCTACGACCGACTCTTCGCCGCCGCCCACCGCCAAACGACGAAAGCTCGAGAATCAACGGCACAGGACGCCCAGTTCCTTCTGGGACAACTTGTCACGGCAGTGGCTCACACCTCGCGCACTCCGAGAGTTTGATCGAAGAACGGAGTGGCCTGCTGCTTCTTTACCGCCTGATCAGACTGATAAGAAAGACATTGATCTCATACAGCTCAAGCGCTTCGCGAGACACGGCGGACCAAGCCTAGGTAAACTTCGAGCTGTAAGTCACGTTTAACCAATTTTCAACATACTCTCTGACCGCTTGCTAGTATCCTGAACCCGGAACCGCAGATCCTTCCCATCAGACCATGGACTCAAGTCAATCGGGCTCCAGGAAACGAGCTAGGACTGGAAGAGACTCGGATACATCGTCGAAGACCAGGAGAACCTCTGCCTATGACCCTAGCTTCCAGCAGCATCTCATCGATCACGGCGTTTATCCTGATGGGTATGGTGGTCTCAGGAATGTGCAAGAACCGCATAATTGGGAAGAAATACATGCAAGAATGCGATTGCCTCGAGCGTCCTTATCGCCGACGCGCTTCGATCGTGAAGCGTTTATAGATTTCAAAGAGAAGAATCAAGAGGCATTGACTGAGGATACGGTGATGGGCAAAGCGTTTTCAATCATTGCTGGCACCGCCCGGATCCCCTCGCAATACAACCTCGTATTCGGAAACCTCAAAGATCTGACCGATGGCTCTATCACCAAAGCTAAGCCGGACTTCTACGACGGGACGAATCCAGCCGAACTACACAAACAGATCCGGGCTGACCTAGGCCCCTACATTGTGCCGTCAACAAATACTGCCCTCCCGTGCGTGCCCAACTTCTTCACCGAAGGAAAAGGACCAGATGGGAGTTCGGCCGTATGTAAGCGACAAGCTTTGTATGACGGTGCTTTGGGTGCCCGTGGTATACAAGAACTTCGGTCATATGTCGTTGGCGAGCCATCGTATGACAACAATGCTTATACAATTAGTTCTACCTATGACGGTGGCACTGGCGACCTCACAGTATACTCTACGCATCCTACTCCGTCCAAGGACTCCCAAAATCCGATCGAGTATCGCATGACTCAACTTAGAGGATGGAAGATGACGGATACCCCAGAAACATTCCGACAAGGAGCTAGCGCCCTGAGAAACGCTAGAGACTGGGCACAAGAGAAACGGAAGGAGCTTATTGCTGCGGCGAATGGCAAGGCGCCAAACACGGAATCTTCAGAATTAGATTCGTCCACGCATAGCCTTCTATCACCCTCTACAAACGGGATCGTCGACCAAGAATCTGACACATCGACGGATGAGCTTGCGTTAAATGATAGTCTTGCTAGCTCCAGTCACAGAACTCCGATCGGACCTCGAAAAGATCCTCCACCAAAAGCCTCGTCATCTCGACGTATGACAAGAGGTCTGGCGAGGGTCTCGGAGGACCTGGGAGACGAGAATAGCTAAGGCGGCTAGATTCGATGAGAGATGCTTGACGATAGGCACTAGACTCCAAAGCGATGCCATCAAACTCACCAACTGATCACAGTCCACGGTCAAGCCGTGGATGTAGATCCGGAGCCGAAGAGAGACAAGGGCCCATATTTACTGCTCTAATTCAAGGAGTAGGGCTACACCATGTTGTGGTTCAGGAGAAAATGATGCTTGCGCAAACGAGATTGGTAAGAGATCTGAACTGCAGACTTGAGATCATGATGTGGTCCATGCAAGTTGCGCGCTAAAAGCTTTGACCTAGGTGACTACCAAACGCACAAGAAAACCCCGCCGGATACGGCGAAGTTTCGCGGCTGTACAAGAGGAAGCGCGTGTCGTTCTGGCCGTCTGGGCCTCATTCCGCGCTTTGTCGGAGAATTCAAGGAAGAACGTTACAGCACGTGGGCCACTATGGTCCATGCTCCTTGCCAGCATGTCACAGCAGAGTCAGCTCTACGTTTCGAGTGTCGCGGGATTCAGTAAAATAGAAAAATGCTTGTCGGGTATCGCATCAAGGCTATAAATGACTTCGTGGCCTTGGCATTAGCGTTTTCTTATTCGTCGACTTAGCAACCATTAATTTTAATATTGTACATGCGCCTTTGGAGAAATCTCATACCGAACGCAAACCGGGCATTCTTTGTGTTGCGTTCCACCAGCGATTCATCGTTTCTAAATGCTGAACGTATAACATAGTTGAACTGCCCATTCTCATACTACATCTGTCTGCGAGTCTACGCATTTCTGCGTTTTCGATGTTTTCTATAGTTGCCGTTCTTTTGTGGTCTTTATTAGCAGCTGGACCTGCCTTTTCGCAGTTTCTCTCTCCTCCTACGAACTTGACAACTGCATCTCGTCATCCCGCAATTTATCAAGTACGCTACAAAGATGTCCCGCCGGGCATCTGCGAGCAAAGAGACGACATCAGAAGCATAAGCGGATATGTCGACGTGTCACCTGAGGAGCACATGTTCTTCTGGTTCTTCGAGGCGAGGAATGCAGATCCGACTACGGCACCCTTGACCACATGGATCAATGGCGGACCTGGAACCAGCTCGATGGTAGGATTGTTCCAAGAGATTGGGCCTTGTGCAATCGATGCAAATGGGAACGTTGTCAACAACCCTTACTCCTGGACAAATGCCAGCAATCTACTGTTCATCGATCAGCCCGTGCAGACTGGATTCTCATACTCAACAACGATACCCGGGTATATCAATCCGGAAGACGGATCCGTCGTCCTTGCGCAAGATGACATCTGTCCTTCCGACGAAGTCACTAAAGGCACGTGCGGGACATATTCGAATCCCAATGACTTGATTGGGCTTCCGGTCTCGACCTTCACGGCAGCCTCTGCGTTTTATGCGACTTTGCAGGGATTCATAGGAGCTTTCCCACAGTATGCGAGGGAGGGATTCCATTTCGCAACTGGTCAGTAGCGCAACCTTCTGTTACCGCAAGATACTGACACGTTTGTGGGAAGAGAGCTATGGGGGCCACTACGGCCCTGTCTTTGCCGAGTATATTGAGGCCCAAAATGCGAGACAAATACCAAATACGACGAAGATCAGTCTTGAGTCGGTGACTATTGTAAACGGATGGATCAATCCCCTGATACAGGTATGGTGTGATGAACCATGCGGAGAAGTACTTTTGTCGCTAAATGAGGCGAATCTAGTACGCCGCTTACTATAATTTTACGGTAGCTATCTCCTCTTCAGAGTGCCATCTCGCAAGGACTGAGAGTAGCAGGTATCTCCCGGAAACACGTATGACTATATGCCATACAACGACTCCGCCGCGTCGTCGCTATACTCCACCGTCTACGGGTCTGGTGGCTGCGTTGACCAGTTGCAAAACTGTAAAGCTACCGGGACGAATTCCGTTTGTGCGGCAGCCGACAATTTCTGTCTGAACTACGTCGAGAACTTCTACGACGAGGTCACCGGCCGCGATGAGGATGATATCAGAGAACTCGAACCTGATCCGTGAGTCGGGTTCGATCCGCAGGAAAACAGCGCATGACTGGCCATTTTAGGTATCCCCCAGAGTCCTACGTCCGCTATTTGAACGACGCAACGGTGCAGGCAGCGATAGGTGCCTATGTAAATTATACGGAACAGTCGGTCGCAGTGGCGAATGCGTTCAACACCACAGGCGATGATGGTAGATTGGACGGCACTACAACAGAGGTTTTGACACTTGTGGAACAAGGCGTTGCTGTAAATACACCTCCGAATCGTATAGCAGCTGCAGCTCACTTCAGAACAGGTCACCATGGTATACGGAGATGCGGACTACAACAGTATGTACTCCCCATCTCCACTGCAATATATCGACCGAACAAGCTAACAAAAGAAAACAGGCAACTGGCTCGGCGGCGAAGCCGTCTACAACTCCATCCCCGTCCCGGGCTCCTCGACCCCCGGCTACGTCGACATCTCCACCTCCGACCTCGTCGTCCACGGCCAAGCAAAGCAAAGCGGCGCCTTCGCCTTCGCCCGCATCTACGAATCCGGTCACGAAGTGCCCTACTACCAGCCTCTGACGGCACTAGCCATCTTCGAGCGAACCATCTACCGTTACGACATCGCCACCGGAGAGGACCTCGTCAACCGAGGCTTTGTCACCGTCGGGCCCGCGGAGAGTACGTTCCGTGAGGGCAATACGACGGTGAAGTTCGCGCTGGAGGAGAGTGGTGGGGAGACGATTGTTGATGCTACGACTTATGAGAATGTGGTGGATGGGGAGAGTGCCCCTTCGCGGCAATTGCTCGCCGAGCTCGAGGCTGTTGCGAAGGGGAAGCATGCGATGGCGAATGCTACGGCTTATGGCAATGTTCTGGAAGTGCTGAAGGAGACTGGGGAGGAGAAGGATCCGATCCATGTGAAGAAGAGAGGGGGAAAGATGCGAAGAGGCGGGTTGATGCGAGATGACGTGACGGGCGGTGAAAACGATGGATTCAGTCGGAGAGGGTTGCATGATTTGGGGACGTAGGCGTCTCTGTTCGCGCTCAGGATTGGGCATCTGTATAATTCTCTGCTCGGCCATGGTGGCTAGAGACTTACGACGTTGCTGCTCAATCGAGGATGAGAACAGAGTGCGGATTCAAGTAGGTGTCGAAGCAGACGGCTTGTGTTTTCAAAGGTCTCGATGCTCACCAGCGCATTCCTGTCAACAAGCTATCATGGCAATTTCTCTCAGTCAGACATCACCGCTTCCTACGTCGAGTCATTCTGATCGCTCAAATGTTGAGCCAATTCCTTTTCTCCGCGCGATGTTTTGCCTTACCAGTCTAAGCGCGGACGTGAGGTATCTCATGCGTGGAAGACGCGAATGAGCTGGTCCAAATCTGCCTCCTTTGCCAAATTCAAGGGACTTGGAGAGTAGCACGACCAAGAAGCATGCGTTCCAGAATCGCCGGACTTCTACTCGCTGAGGACCTCATGGGTTGCAACGTTTTCATACACTCGCTCGTACATACTGTCTTTTCGCTTCTTATTCCGACTAGAGCTCTGTGCCACCAGTGTTTTCGTCACCGCGGTTTGAACCATCTAAAACACGCTTTCTGAGAACCTTGCGGCCGCGAGCGAACATTGCGAGTTCGATATTCCGAGGTTTTGCATCCGACTTCAGTCCAGGAGCCTCTTCCTTCTGCCTCGGTGCTCAAATGATGAGGACAGCAGACACGGACGGCAGACCTAAGAATTTGTCGGGCAAGTGCGGTTACCCCTTCGTGCCTTGTTACATAAGATCTTGCGGTTCCGTAACCGCAGGAGGCCTCGCTTTTGTGCCAGAACAATCGACACGGCACGCTAAAGCTGCTGGAAACCCCCCTACCCGACGGCAAAGACGCAGCGATAGGGGAATCGGCCGTCGTGGCTCTAGAGCGCGAGAGCCGGTTGCCATTGCCGTTTGACCGCCTGCAGGGTCCATACTTGGCGAAGAGCGTGACCACTGGCCCGTCCGTTCGTGACGATCACGTGGTCACGCATACGGGCGGTAGGATTGAGCAGGCTAGCCAAACGGGAGGATTGGCTTACACGCCGTATGTGCCGTGTCATTGGGCGCCGGAGGGGCGGGGGCGACATCAGTCGTGAGTGAGTGGATATGAGGATGTTCCCAGGAAAGGAGGTTGCATTGCTGGAAAAGAAATTAGTAGAGGAATCTTGGGATGCTTCGCATTAATCACGATGGCTTGCGAGACGTGATTGCGATGACCTCTACATTGTGTCTGGGCGCATTGTGCAATAGGCTACCTCGCAGATCTCAGCCGCCTTGGACGTATGCAAGGCTGTGTGGAAAAGACGAATGAGGAAGTTGTTCAGACCACCATGGCGGTTTACCGAAGCTGACCGCCGCTGCTTACTTCGCCCTTTTTCAGCCTGATCATTGCCACTACAGCCCGTTTTCTTCAGGAAGAAGGGTGCGCAATCACTTTATTTTACACAGTTTTTTATGATAGGAGTGTTGTCCTCTCCAGCAACTTTGTCGGAGACCAAGGGTTTTGGCTTGCGACTCGAGATGTAAGAGCCACATCAACGTACTTTTTAGTCATGTCGGACCCACTGAGCATAGCAGCTGGCATAGTGGGTGTCATTACGGCTGCAGCTCAGATGTCTGTACTTTTGACCAAGTTCACAAAATCGACCATCGCAGCGCCACAGCAGGCACAGGTCGTACTCACCGAGGTGAGCGACATACGTGGAATCTTGTCGCATCTGCAGACATTTCTTCTCGGGCCAGACTCACCTAACAGATCAAGGACTTCCTTGCTCAAGGTGGAAAAGGTGGTGACCATTGTCGGTGGCTGCGTGCATACGTTCTCAGAGCTTGAAAGGCTGCTCGATGAACTGAAGACGGAAGATTTGGACGTGTTGGATCGCTTGAAATGGGCGAGAAAGGAGCCAGTGATCGTGAGTCTTATCGACAGGCTGCAGAACCACAAGGCATCGTTATCTTTGGTGCTCAATATTGTGAATGGGTTTGTCCCTATCCGCCAAGAGCTGTCGTCCGAGTGGGTGCTGATATTTCGTAGACACACGATTGCCGAAGCCACAGACTCGGTGAGCCGACTGCACGAACTCGTAGAGCAATGCTATAAGGAAATGTCATCCAGAGTACAAGCACTGGAGATTCTGGATCTGCAGAGGAGGGGCGGTGCAGATTGGATGTCGGTAGACGATACGGAGTCTCTTGCAACCATCCATGCACGCCCGCCTGATTTGAGCTATGAAGAAGCCATTGGGAACGAATTATTACGCTTCGACTTCTCGGATGATTTACAAAGGTCTCGTGTTTATAGGAGGAACCAGGCTTTTCGCAAGTCTGTCATTTCCGCATTAACGAACAGTGTGTACTCGCTGGGATGGTCGTACTTCTCAGACTTGAGTATGGCAGAAGTGTCAAACATTTCGGTGATAAACCTGGGGATCACCGAGGAAGAAACTTACAATCCTCAACGATCCACGCAGACATGGTCAGCCCAAGCAAACGAGAGGGCGTCTACCGGCCCTTACAACGATGATTACAGAGATAGACAAAACACTCAGCTACATAACGTCGTCCGTGAACCAATTCCAGCAAATAGTTCTGCAGCTACTCGGGGACGTCGGCCGGCGTCCACCCGGACACAGCAGCAAAGTCTCCACCGCCCTCGTTCTCTACCCCCGCCTCACCCATTTGAGGATCATTACAGTCCTTTCCACTTGGAGGTGCATTATATATACAAGACCAGTGCAAATATTACTGAAGATCCAGCCCCCAAATCTAATCTACCACTGGCGGGTCCCTCAGATCCACTTCTATATTCACAACCCCAGAGTACCTCCTCACAATCTTACGAACCAATGGAAGACGAGCCAGCTTATCCGTGTCGAGGTTGCGGGAAGGTAATAGGAGAATGGAGAGCGTTTGGACTTGGTGAACCATACATATTCTTCATCAGATACTGTCAAGCTAATGCAAATGCAGAGGGCAGCCTTTGGCACCTTGACTGTTTCTGTTGCAACACCTGCGGTATCAATTTCGGCCCCGCTGCCGATCTCGGCCCCCTCGGCGACGGGTCACTCATCTGCAACAATTGTACCCATAGCTGTAGCGTCTGTAACAAGAAGATAGAGGACCTTGTCATTTTCACGGGCGACCAGACCTTTTGTGTAACATGCTCCAAGTGTCGAAACTGCAAAAAGAAGATCGAGAACATGAAATACGCTCGGACTTCGCAGGGATTCTTTTGCATGGAGTGTCACGAGTCGTTAATGCAAAGACGTCGGAGGAAAACCTAGGCGAAAAAACAACGAGAGCAGACAATCCCAAACAGTCCCACAACTGTACAAAATCGGATTGATAAGGAATTGCCAGTGCTACCACCGCCACTGCTACGAGTATCACCAGAGCTGAGAGATACGATTTCCAACGCGATTACTCTGGCGTCGGCCTCAAGCGGCTCAAACACACCTACCAGCCCCTCTATGACTTTCTGACGATGCCTGTCTGATGAAACGTCGCCTTAAGAAGCATCAGCACATGTACGTTACATTTTATGTCGTAGAAGAGCTGTTACATGACATTCCTAAGTAGATTAAAACATGAAGTAGACCAAGAGCGGTGAATGACGCCAAAGATGCACATATCCATGCACATCTCTGTATCAGATACAGGTTTGCCCTGTGTGCTTATGGATGTATTGTTGTTTGAAGCTTGCACGACTATGAGTTCAGGAAGACTGAAAATGGGTAGCAAGATATTAAGGGCGCCGCATCCGGCCTAGCGCCAAATGCCACTCCGCCTCGGAAAAAGTGACGACTTAGACATCGAACGAAGCATGACTCAACACCACATGGTCATGACCCGGTAATCTTCTCCGGGATAGCAGCCCACAAGACACATACCCTCAACTGCTACCCGCACCCGTCTCAATGGCATCCAACTCCACCCCCCCAATCCTCATCCCCCGCACCCCCACCTCCCCCCTCGACCCTACCCTCCGCACATCCCTCCAAGACGCAGTCTTAACCCCCAAAACCATCAAAACCCTCCGCAAAACACTGGAGACGGAAACGCAGGCCGCAGAATGGCAGGAGAAGGTGAAGCAGCGAACGCTGCAGTTGCTGGAGAGCAGGGAGTATTGGAAGTGGGAGGATCTGGTTGGGGCGATTGTGAGGGAGGCGAGGGGTGTTGAGGAGGAGGAGGAGGAGGAGGAGGAGGTGGATGATGAGGGGCAGGGAGACGAAGAGAAGGGGGTGAATGGAGGACGGAATGGCGAGGGCGAGGAGAAGGTGGACATACGGATGCCGGAAAAAGCTATTGCGGAAGCGGCGACGGTGGTGAGAGGTGTGCTGGATCAGAGGGTGGAATTGGAGCCTGAGGGGAAGGGGTTCTGGGATTGAAGAGGGGGCGTGTTGGTATCCGGAGGATGAGAATCGGCCACTGAATGCTTCCGGTGTGGGATCCTACACGCCTCGGACTTGCGAGCGATGTCATAGCTATGATTACAGTATGTCGTCACGGTTTCGGCTAGTGAAGAATGTCGGGTACTCACGATTGAGACTCGGGCTTGGTCTTGCAGCCAAAGTGGAGACCCGGGGAAGGAAGAGTCACTAGGCTGGCAGAGTCATGAAGAATAGGGATTGGGGCAGAGAGCCAGAGCAATGAAATGTCTATCGAAAGAAGATTGAGACTGCAATATGGATCATGCGTCTAAGTATGAGAGGGAAGGAGAGAAAAGGTTGTAAGGCAATGAAGGAGCTTAGACATGGAGCTTAGACACGATTGAAATGAGTATGCAAAAAAAGTTACTTCGTTGGAGCAAAAAGCGCTCGGTGAAAGTGTATGGATGTAGAATGCTTCTGAATCTAAAATCTGCTTGCTGTTCAAGTATCTAAGGCACATCGCACCGGTTGAAGTGACCATTCTACTATGTGCCCTGCCCTTCTCGCCGAGATGCCATCAAGTGATGGCGCACAAACACCGTGTATGCAATATTGTAAAGAACCGAGGTTTCCGAACCCAAATGCACATCAGGGCTTAGCATCTAGTCGTAAAGAGAATCATCGTTGCCAGCGTCACCGAATCCATTGCCGTTCCCTGCAGCATCAGCAGCTGCGTCCGCATCTGGAAATCGGAAAAAGTTGCTTCCACTGGAGTTCTTCATGCTCTGTGCGAATGCTTCGTAGCGACGGACCTCAACATCAGAGACTGATCTCCTAGCTGACTGCATAGCCTCCTCGAAATGGGCTTTGGTAAGCTCGGGAACTGGGTCCTCAGCGTCAATGTCTTCCTCCATCTTGACGTCTTCACCAGCAGCCTCACGCTCCTTGGTTCGCTCAATATCAATGGAGATGGATTGCTTGATGGCGAGCTTAACGGCACGCTGAGTGACGAAGCCGAGATCGGCACCAGAGAAGCCGTGAGTGCGGCTCGCAATATAGTTAATGTCGACGTCATCAGCCACAGGAGTCTTGCGCAATTGAGCCTTGAGGATACCGATACGCGAGGTTTCGTCAGGCAGGGGAACGTAGACCAAGGTGTCGAGACGTCCAGGACGGCAGAGAGCGTTATCAAGCTGCTCGGGACGATTGGTGGCACCGATAACGAAGACGTTCTTTTTCGAAGTCATGCCATCCATCTCTGTAGAATGAGTTAGTATACCGTAAGAGAGCTGGACATGAGTCACACTGGCTTACCTGTCAAGAGCTGGTTGACAACACGATCGGAAGCTCCTCCAGCGTCACCATTGGATCCACCGCGCGACTTCGCAATGGAGTCCAACTCATCAAGGAAAACAACACAAGGAGCGGCGGCCCTAGCCTTGTCGAAAATATCTCGAATATTGCTCTCCGACTCACCGAACCACATGCTCAGCAGCTCAGGGCCTTTAATCGAGATGAAGTTGGCAGCGCACTCGTTGGCGACTGCTTTGGCAAGCAAAGTCTTACCAGTACCTGGGGGACCGTAGAATAGAACACCACGAGATGGCGAAAGACCGAATTTGAGGAATTTCTCAGGGTGATCGACGGGATATTGGACGCTCTCGATAAGCTCGCGCTTGACGTTCTCCAAGCCTCCAATGTCATCCCAGCGAACGTTGGGTACCTCCACAACGGCAACTTCACGAAGAGCAGAGGGATTTGAGACACCAAGTGCGAAACGGAAGTTCTCCATAGTGACGCCTAAAGAGTCAAGGACCTCCGCATCGATGGTATCCTCGTCCAAATCAATCAGGTCCATCTTCTCACGGATCTGCTGCATAGCAGCCTCAGAGCAAAGAGAAGCAACATCTGAACCAACGTAACCATGAGTCTCTGCGGCAATCGACTCGAGGTCAACATCTTCTCCAAGCTTCATGTTCTTGGTGTGGATCTGGAGAATCTCAAGGCGGCCAGTGGGGTCCGGGATACCGATGTCGACTTCACGATCGAAACGCCCGAAGCGACGAAGCGCAGGATCGATGGAGTTGGGTCGATTCGTGGCAGCCATGACTACCACGTTTGAGCGGGCTTTCATGCCGTCCATGAGAGTCAGAAGCTGAGACACCACACGGCGCTCAACCTCTCCGTTGGTCTTCTCACGCTTGGGTGCGATGGAATCGATCTCGTCGATAAAGATGATTGCTGGAGAGTTCTTCTCTGCCTCCTCGAATGCTTTGCGGAGGTTTGATTCTGATTCTCCGGCCATCTTGGACATGATTTCAGGACCGTTGATCAAGAAAAAGAAAGCTCCAGTCTCGTTGGCCACAGCACGAGCCATCAAAGTCTTTCCGGTACCGGGAGGACCAAACATGAGAATACCACGAGGAGGCTTGATGCCGATGGACTTGAACAGCTGAGGATGTCGGAGAGGCAGTTCGACCAACTCTCGAATCTGGGCCATCTGCTTTCGGCATCCACCGATGTCATCGTATCCCACCTCATTCAGGTTGCCCTCCTCGTCCTCGCGCTGAATGGGCTCTCCTTCACAATGTATGACGGTATCTTGTGCCACAATGCCGAACTCTGGTGGATCGACCTCTACGACCTTGAACTCAACCTGCCTCATGCCTCCACGGACTGTGAAAAGATCACCTTGTCGTACCGGTCTGTAGGCTTCGCGGAAATAGGGAGCGAGGAAGACATCGAAAAGGGAGCCAGTTAGGCCTTCGACGGTATCAGCGATGGGAAGGACGGCAATACGCTTGGCCTAGTGGTGCGTGTTAGAGACTGCTTAGATCGTGTGAAGGGCAGGTTAGGAACTTACGTATTTGATATCTGGGCACGCGTGAACAGTGACGATATCACCGTGCTTAACGCGGAGATTGTGGCGAACCACGCGGTTCATACGTGCTGATCCATCATCAAGATCATCATCCGCCAGCACGATCAGAACGGTATCCTTTCTCTTCTTTCCTTTCACGAGTACTGTATCACCACGGAACAGCTGTAGCGTCTCCATGGTGTTGTTGGATAGTGCGATGATTGAGTTGTCATCGTTAACAGCATCGGTAACACTGTTGCCACCACCAAGTCAGCAAACCCGGGTTCCAAAAGTCTAGATGGGCAAGATCTACATCAAAGAGTTGGGCTTCTTCTTCTTCTTGAGAATAGCCGTTGCTGTGTCGGACTCCTGAGGCATGTCAGTGACAAGTTTCTGGATATCTTCGGCGCTGCTTAAGCTCACCTCTTTCTTCTCAGCTCCGGAGGCATCACTGTCACGGCGTCAGTATCAAGTCTCGTGAGAGATGGAGCAATAGCTGGACTTACTTCAAGTTGGCCTTGACCTTGGCCTTTGACCCCACGTGCTCAGGCTCTGCAGACATTTTGAAGCTGGCCTAGTGACTGAGCTTGTAGACCAACGTAGATGTAGCTTTGGTTGGCTCGGGTCTTGGAGGATGTGAAGTGAGTTGTAGGAATCTTGGATGTTCGATGCAGAAGATGAGGAAGGTGGCTTTTGTGCGTAGAAGAGAGTTGGTGACGTGTCGAGGATGAAAGGTGTTATGGTTGATTGTGATACTCGTAGGAGTTGACAGGGCCAGAAAGTTGAATGATGATTTACTCTACTCGGCCTCCGATTTTTAGCGCCGGATAAATATAAGACCGAGCTATCCACGGCACAAAGAAGCTGGTCGAACAGTTTGGAAGCTGACAGATCTTCACTCTGTTGTCGACAATGTGAATTGTCTGTTCGGTGGCGGCCAATCCAAAGAGGCTCTATACATATACTAATGAAGGACACGTCAGTACGATTGACCAAGTTAGACAAAGATGGGGATGAAGATAGCTTGCTGAGTCTTTTGACATGAATGTGAAGACATATATAGCATTCGTCTTGTCTGTTGTTGTGAGGGGACCAAGACTCTGATGTTAGTCTACAATTGTGCTGCTTTTTACTTGATTTCATGTTTGCAAAAGCTTTTCAAGTGGAAGAAAATATAGATACATACAAGCACTAAGAAACAGGCCATCTCATCTTCTCTATTCGTGGTGACTTTTGGTGTTTTTACATGTCCTATTGGATAGACGCACTCTGTGACAGCGACAGTTCCACATAACCGATGGCAAGCAATCGGGGATGATGTTCCTAACCTGCTTCAGTATCATGGCTCACATGCTGCTTTGTGGGTGAACAAACCTTGGTGATGTTCTCAGCGACGGTGTTATCGCTATCAAACAAAGGGTTGTGGGAAGACTATGATGTCGTAGCCTGGTTTATTCTCCGGCACAACTTCTGTCGTATGGGTCTGTGTCTCTGGAATACCAACACTCCGATACGCTGCTACTCCAACCAACAACGACCCCAACCTGCATATACTCAATCCGCCAATCGCTCCACTCCGCCAACCCTTCCACTTGCAGCCATCAAAGCACGAGGGCATGCCTCGCACTGCAGGCACCGAGTTCGACATTTTCGAGGACAAATCCCCTCCAGGGGACCTGAAAAATATCATCATAGTAGCCTACGACCGAGTAATAGCACGTGGGAAGGAAGCCCTGGGACTGGCGTGGTGGAAATGCTATGAGAGAGCCTAGATTGACGCGGCAGTAGCCAACCTTCTTTGGGCCATTCTTCAAAGAAGGGCACAACAGGACCAGACTACGTTTGGAACGCCTTTATTACGCCGGCAAGGTGAGTAGTCGCGGACCGGAAGAGAATAATGCTGGTGGAGAGGCACCAAACATTGCAAATGGTCAGTTTCAGTCTGCAATAGCTTCTTCTATAGGTATCTAAATTTTTGCGGTGTACAGGCAGCTCTTCAGCATGAGAAAGGGTGTTTGTTTTCTGAGAAGCATGTTACGAGGCAGGGTCATAATAAATCGGTATCTGCTCGGTACTCGTGGGAATCTAATCAATGTTTCAACTACACGCAGCTCTTGAGGCATAGGCAATCCCATGCTGATTCTTTGGATGATTAGTGCTCGTTGAGCAAGCTGACCGGTCTGTACCTCGAGTTTACGCTTGGTCTTTTGGGTCACCCGCGTTTTGTGTGCGCAGATGGTGAGCGTTGTAGGATGGATTAGCTCGGCTAGAAGACAAAGAGCCAGCATTTCAATTGAATCAAAAGCTTATCATACAGAGATCAAACCAGAAACATTGCCCACATGCAGCTCTTGTGACAACCATTCGATGCTGTCACTGAGGAATGCACTCAAATAAACACCAAAAACAGGAACATATAGCCCACATCCTTGTCATTATTGCAATGTCATTCGCTCACTTAAGCCGTCTCCTTCCAAGCCTGCCCAATACTCAGCGCGCCAACCACAGCCCCTAATCCTCCAATAGCACCCTCCCCTAGAATCCCATTCTCAAGACTATAATGCACAGTCATAGGCGCATAGGCCACATTGACACCAACCTCCCTATACCACTTCCCCCATCTCTCCTCCAGCTCCTCGTCCTCCACCTTGTCCATCCTCAATTCTAGCTCTCCTTTCTCAACCAACCCCCCCTCATTCTCTGCTGACCGGGTCTTCTCCAACTCCATACCCTTCCTTCCCTGTCTCCCGAGATCCTGCCCCTTCAGCTCCCCCCACTCATACCCTAACCTCGCAAGTTCCAGCGCCACATACGCACACCACGCTCTCCCGCTCCATATCCAAGCCCTCGCTATCCTCTCCTTCTTCCATCCTAGAACGCCCTTCCCGGCTAGATAAGCACCGTTTTCTAAGCCCTGGTAAAGTGCACATGCCACCACTTGGCCCCACGTAATCGCTCTCACGATTCCATCCCCTGGTGGCGTAAGGTAGGTTGAGACTCCCCAGCTATATATGCCCAACAAGCCCCATAGCCGCAAAAAGACGCGAAAGTCGTCGAAGATGGCCGTAAGCGGCGTCAACGATGTTGTGAGTGGGGATACTGAGAATCGGGGAGTCTTGGCAAGTATGGAGTGTAGGAGGTGAAGGGTATAGGATACGGTTAAGAGTGATTTGTCGAGGGTAGAGGTGCGGGACAGGAGTCTGAATCTGATTAGTGCACTTCTATGGGCGAGGGGGATGCTATGGGAGTCGACCTGTTGATATGGGCTACATGGGCGTTGGTTTTGGATAGGTAGTGGGGAAGAGAGGCCTGGAGATGAAGTAGGGATTTCGAGGGAGGTGAAGGTGGAGATGCCATCGAAGGCGAGGTTATGGAGAAATGGTACGGGGCGAAAGAAAGACGGAGTCGAGGGTTCGCGTACCTCGGCAATATGCTTGAGCGCTGGGTAGCTGGAGTGACATAATTATACTCTAACATTTCTGAGAGTATATTTACAATGCTCCTATGCGCACAGAACATGGTTTCAGAAACGAAAGAGCCACCGTTTTCGCTGATTGGTCTGCCTGCTGTGTCAAAGAGAATAGATCTGTCAAAGATATTTCAACGACTAGAATATCTATACGTCATTCAAAGATCAAATGTCTAGGCTTTCAACAACATCAGCTTTTGAACGACCATGATGATCTCGCCGGGTGTTTCAATTTGCTTTGCAAAACGTGTCAAAGCAACATTCCCACTCCAAAACTCTACTTACACCTTCCTGAATGGTCTGCAGTCACTAGGAGCATCTGCTTCATAAAGCTGCAATATATGTGCAGAACTATAGGAAGGTTCTTAGTCAAGACAGTCCAATTTACCCGTCTTTTGGCAGACATAATTTCAGACTTCCAAATCCTGAATCAGAAGCTCTACGCATCCTCGATCAGTCTACATCAGTCCCTGCAATGCTGACAGTAACACATATGCCCTTACCACTCATCCATTTCTTATCACCAAGACTATAATTCCTTCGGGATTATCGCGCAGCGCTGCAGGACTCATCTCTTCGAATGTACGTACCGCCATCCGAATAGATGTCAATCCTCTCCAGAATCTTAATAGTGCAACGGTCGTCCTTTCACCCAGTCAAGGCTCGCTGCCTCAACCCAGGAATACGATTCGTTGAATGCGGTCTCGACTGTAGGAAGCAACCGAAGCGCATTTGCAGGCGCCAAAGTTCATTTCCTGCTTCTTTCGAAACACATTGTGTACAAGATAGCACCGTCCAACGTGGACAACTGCTATGATCAGCTCTTCCGTGTAGCAACCTATTGTTGTTGCCTTTCCTTGACTTCCGTTTTTCGGATAGCTATTGGTAGCTAGACTGTTCACCTGCCAGTCTATACGATCTTTATTGCTGCTTTTCCCGTTTGAGATACGCCATACGCGTTCACACCCAAAATTTGCACAGCATATTGGGGGAGCTATACTGATAGCCACGGTGGCCCGAACGATGAGAAAGCATATGTTGTACATTGGATGCTCACGGCGAAAATCGTAGCTTAGCTGTTCTGACGATCCTTTCTCAGTGATATCTTCCACCTTGAACAAGGCTAATGACGCCCCGCCTGCCCGCAAGCTGCTGCAGTTATAGTTTAGCTGAAACTGTTCTACCAATCATCGCAGAGAGACCTCCAAGTCCCACCTCTTCAGCTTCATATGACAGCGAATGGAGTGAGCAAGCGGTGCTGTCTTAGGCTAGCCCCCGTCCGCTAGTTGCAAGCTTTATGCAACAACGCAACCACCACCTCTACCGATGGTAAGCGCCCGCGGGCCTGGACAGGCTGAGGCAGTCATGGAGGGGGCTTTTCTCATTCCATCAAGCTCTTCAGCGCCAGCCGCGCGAGAAACATAGCAACTGATCGTTAAGAGACAGTATGCTGACTGCATGACATACCTGACGGGGCAGCGGCAACACCCTTGGACCCGCCCTTGAGGGAGACCGCGCAACAATGGGGACTATAAACACATTGCGACCATGGACTTTCCTTGGGGAACACATATCACAGAGTACCGGCCTCGTATCAAAGTCAGGTCGATTGTGCCAGCGGTCCGCAATCATGATTCAGCTGGGGAACATACAGCGACCATCACATTCCAAGCATCTGACCATCTAGTTCGATGCCCCCGTCTTTTAGACGACGACCTCAGTATAGACGTTAACTTCTACGTATTCACTCCTCTCTATCACCCCGAGGAGTCTATTTTAGCCGAGTGAGTGTGTACTAGATTTATAAATAGGACTTGCTGACTTGTCATATCTAGCATAGTTGCAGTGACTGGACTTGCCGCGCATGCATATGGCTCCTAGGCGCACTCTGATCAAAAGATGTGGTTCCGTGATTACCTCTCGAAAGACCAATGCGAGAGTCATAACTTATGGCTATCCTTCGCACTTGCAAGGAAACATGTCATGGAGCAGTCTTCCGCGCTACAGTCTGAGTTTTACTCGCCGACTGTTGGATATGCGAGCTTCAGCCTGAGTCATTCGCTCTGCAGACTTTTGCCAACTTTGCGATAGCTGAGAATGTTCCAGTGTAAAGATCGGCTCATAATCTTCGTTGGTCCTAGTCTAGGCTGTCTAATCATCAAAAAGGTGAGCTCTCTGGGCTTGAAGTCTCAAGAAACTAAAATTAAAAGTTGATAGAAAATCTTCTTAGGCAATGAGTGATATCAATCCCTCAGTCGAGATCTACCGCTCCTGCCTTCCGGTCCTCTCGATCGTCTTCTTAGGGGCACCCCATAAAGGACTACACACAACCGCACTAGAGACCCTAGTCAAATCTAGACCCACAGAGGATATGATTCAAGGATTGAAAGCTGAGTCTCCGACATTAACAGATTTGAATGACAAAGTTCGATACGTTGCAAGAGAAATCAATATCTTAACCTGCTACGAGCTCTATCCGACCAAGACTGCGGTTCAAGTGAATTCAACCTTCTGGGCTTACGAGCCCTCATTGCTGACCTAATCTTTAAGATGGATGATGGGTCCTGGGAACGCGAAGGCAAGCCCGAAATGATGGTCTAACCAGACTCTGCAAAGCTGTCCTGGCCTCGAGAGGAATCGATATCGTGTCATGTTGATCACAGCCAAATAGCCAAGCTGGAACGGGGTGAAAGCAGCGTATACCCAAGTGTTAGTTGCGCGATCGAGAGCGCTATCGAGGAGCAAACCATCTTCGGTTTGTCTCGGTTTCAGGTATCCGATGCAATTGCATCTGAAGACTCGGGTACAATTCATTATAACGATCTTAAGCCCGGCCCAAGTCGCTCCTCCGGCCACGCTGGTAATATCACAATAGATAAGGGGAGAGATTATCAACCGCCACTGCGGCTCAATCTCCAGATTTTTTATCGCCAGAACAGCTCTGCGCCGCCATCAGGACGGAAAGCGCAAGAGTTACTAGCACGAGGCTGTAGCCTTCACTCAGTGGACTCCAGGGGAAGCGGGATCCCACCTGAGGCTTATCCCAAGAAGGGCAAAGATCCTTATCTGCTCGCCGCGTATCTCAGGCAGGGAAAGGTCCTGAAATTACTACTAGAGCATGGAGCCGATTCATCTCGAGCCGAGTCCGATGGAGTCACAGCATTACATGCATTTATTTTTGGCGTTTTCAAGACGGAAACACCACCTACTGAATCAATTGTGGCTCTGCTACTGCAGCACAGGACTCCTCTAGAGCAAGTGTACTGGATGGGCTGGACTCCGCTGATGTATAGCGTAGATCTCGGCTTCTTGTTGGTGTTGACCAAGACTCTCCTTGATCATGGCGCGAACGTGAATATCTTCAATCAGTCTGGTGCGATAATCTTGCACTATGCTGCAAGGGGGGAGAATCCAGATATCGTGGCGTTGCTGCTTCACAAGGGCGCTGACGTCGACCGTACGTCGCCTGATGGGCAGACCGCTCTACATTGGGCCTGTAGTGGTAGCGCATCATCTTCTGCACAGATCGTGAGAATGTTGTGAGACGCAGGAGCAGACAAAGACGCAGCTGACTAAGACTTGTTCACATCAAAGACGCCGCTGCACCTGGCGGCTGGTAATGGTAACGTCGATGTCATCAATGTTCTCTTAGCTTTGTGGGGCGAACATTGAGTTAGAGAAATTGCCTGGAAGGACGGCTCTTCATTACACATCTCATCATGGCCACCCGTTGGCTTTCAAGACGCTCCTCGATCACGGTGCAATTGTGGAAAGTTATGGACGATTTTCGCATCACGCTGGCAAACTACTCAACTTCGCCTCTGACGTGTCTAAGGAGAATAAAAAGGATTTTACCTTGCTGCTGAAGAGCGCGATGAAGGCGCAGAAGCGGCGGCGGCGGCGGCGGCGGCAGGAAGCGATGAGAGCTCAAAGCGTCTTATGAGGTCCTTCATCATCCACTACTTACTCGTCTATCGAACGTCTGAGGTGCAAGTGCTTAACAACATATATCGAAGAAAGCAGCAAACCTCCAATCATCAAAGCCTGTTGGTTTGATTATTTGGGAGGCTGTTCAGGTATCCTTTGGATGGGGCTGGCGGCGATGCTGGCTCTACATGATTTGCTTCAGCTTCGTCGCTTGAGTGAGGCTGAGCCGTGTTCTGTATTGGCTGTCGTGTGGTCGGCGTTTGCTGCTCGGTCGTCTTCCAAGCTTTGACGGGTTGGTGGTGTGTGTAAAAGGTGGAGAGAGGAGGAAGTGCTGACTACGAGAGGGCCCCTACCTAGGGAAATCATGGCTTATAGAGAGTTTTATGTTGTCCATTCAACGAGGACGCACCCAGCGAAAGTATGTGTTATGACAAGGCTTCGTCTTACATTTGGCATAGATGGCATGATCCTAGGCGTTCACGTTGACCTATATGTGATCCGCAATGGGAAAGATTTCACATTGGATTTCAATAAGCCAGTAGTGTGTGGAGATAGGATAGCTCATAATCAACCATTTGTGGTTACACTTTAAACCACTTCACACCTTTGAACCAATCTTCCTCAAATCTACAAAGCCATCCCAAACACATCTTCCGAAGCAGTAATCACTCTTCCCAAAACAGTTGTGCCCGCCCATACAGATGATCCATAAAGGAGGAGCATTATTTCAGTCAAATTGCGCGTACTCGGTACTCTCTCCGTTAGCCTGGACTCCGCACCGTACTATACGCTGCCCCAACAGCAGATGCCTGAACCGGTATCGACTCCAGGCGGGAGCTGTTTATCTGGCTGCTGCCGCGTTTGTAGCTTGGTTGATGGCTGGCAGCGATGGGAAGCGATGCAGAGGTTTCTCAGGAGCGTGTGGTACCTGTACTGTACTGTACTGTACTGTGTTGGAGGCAGCGGGACCACTGCTCAATGAAAGATGCCGTTCACGGGACAGACCTTTAGGGCTCAAGCAAGGTCGGTCTGGAAGTATGAGTTTGCAGGAAATGGAGAGGAGATGATAAGTGGAGCGTTGACTTTTGATGCTGTGGAAGCTGTCTGTTTCAGCATGAGCTATGTACAGCCAGTAGTTGGCAGAAATTCGGCCTCTCCGTGTGAGATCTCGAGCTATGTATGTCCGAGCCATGCGCAACATATACCCCCAGCGACATCTGAGAAAGCTATGTGCACCCACTGGTTGAGCAAGATCTCCTCCATTTTCGTAGCTTTTCATACCGACATGATAACATCCACCGTCCCCAAATCAGCAGCTTCCTCCGTGACAGCTACCCCTCCCAAACCTCCCACACCCATCCCGGCAACTTCCTTGCGCAATCCTTCAATGCTGTCCTTCTCTGGAAGGGGAACACCAGAAGCCTCTTTGAGGAGCTCATCGTTTAGCTCCTTCCACAGACCCATGTCAAACTCGACCGCATCCTCTTCCGTAGTGTCTGTTCCCTCGCTAAGCTTGCGCTTCCTAATCGAACGAGAGCTGGGGTGGCGCGTCATCAGCATACTTTTAAACGCACGCTTCATGCTCTCTCGGAAGCCTTTGCTTTCGAGCCCGACCTTCGTGTCTGCAATGTCCGGGGATGAGCTAGTGGGATCAGCCGACTTGTGATAAGATCCGCTGTTGTTATTGAAAACGACTTGGCCGGCTTCGTTACGCGAATAGAGAGCCCTGCTGTCAAGTGATCGTAGGAGTGGGCGCTTTGGTAGCCGTGGTGGACGTAGGCCAATTTTACTCATGATAGACGCGCTTGCCAATGGTCGATTGCTATCCTCGTAGTGAATGAATGGGATCTCTTCATCTTTTTCGAACACATCGTCAAAGTGTTGCCAGGCACGATCACGATGGGTAGGTCTGCAAAGCTGGCAGGCGCAGAATTTACAGAAAGGGAACATTCTCATTTTCGGTCGCTGAGCCAGTGCTACGTTGACCGCGGAAGAACTGGTAGTCGATGGGTCCTGGACTTCGTTGATAATGGGAAATGGTAGATGTGGATTCGCGTCGACAGACTGCAGCGTAGTTGGTGTTTGAGGTGGAGAATTGCTGTTGTTTGTCTGGCTTTGCTCGAATTGGTCGATTGCCGCCCTGGCAGTGTCCACCACATGCTGCTTCTGTGCTCTTAGCTTAGCGACCTGCTCTGGCGTGTAATGACCGTCCTTGATGGCCTTCTCGATCCATGGACTGAGCTGGGCAGTGGGAATTCGCGCGTCCTCCACTCCAAGTCTCGGGTCCTCGTTGACTGCTGGCGGTGGCATTGACAGATCGTTAACACTGCTTGCCTGCCCCCGGCTGCCATTGATGTGTTGATGAGGCGGGCTTGAGATTTCTGAGATGGAGTCAGGTGTGACTTGAGATTCTGGAACATCGTCTTGCGTGCAGCAGTACACCCAGCCGAAACTGGAGAAACGCGAGCAGACGTTGCACGTGAAATCCCCGTACAGCCGTTCCATTGTGAGGTGAGTGCATGCTGCCCGTCGAGTTGCAAATGATGGCACTTTGGCCATGGGAAATGTGCCTGGCATTGATGCCGCGCTATGTGGTGGTGGTAGAGAAGAAGGAGGAAGAGGAAGAGTGGAAGGGTTTGGCATGATGGTTTCTTGTAGTCTGATGGCGAATGGCTTGAGGCCGTTTAAGAATTCAAGAATGAAGTCATATTCAGTATCCGGAGGCGAGGTAGATTCTTGTCTGCCATGGTTCATCACCTGGTTCAAGTTCAAGGTGTGGGAGGTGGAAGAACGAGGGTGTTGAGGAGAGACGCAAAATGAGACAACATCTGTGTTGATAGTCGCATTGTCATCCGCACGATCATCCAGCATCTTCATCAAGCTTCAAGATTTTACTGTCACGCTTTTCTGCATCAACGGGATCAGACACTTTGGCATCAACCTTATCCCATCAGTAATTTATCCGCGAAGGCATTACGAGTGGGCGAAGACAGTAGGCAGGACAGGCAGTCTTTAGCTGTGGCATTGATTAGGCGTCTGCTTAAGCCATAACGATGGAATAGGATGAGATATGGATCAATTGAACTCCAAATGATGGGTGAGGGATACAGGAGGAATATAGGAGCAGAGATTGCTCCTTCCTTTCCGGAATCTTTCATGCAGTCTCTATGCAAGGGGAGGTCAGCGGCGCTTCGCTGCATATCACATCTGTAAGCAACCTAGAACATCAGCGCTTCCAAGTCACAAATCTGTAGTAACAACGGCAATGATTAGCAAAGGCCGTAGCTTCAATAGCGAGGACCGACGGTATGGGCCCTCTCTACTCTCTACTCTTTACCCCGGATCTGCAGTTCGTTATGGAGCTCCTCGTTGTCCATCTGTTGCAGCTTGAGCAGGGCTGTGGGGAGCAATTGTATTTTGCGATCATCACGTCGAATTGGCTGATGCTGCAAGCTACAACAGCGTATCAGAATCCCGTCTTGATGATTGCGCCTCTCATTTTCAGAAGATGATTGTAGAGCTGCATATGCAGTAATGGGGGACTTTTTGCCAAGGCCACTAGCGCGTTTATCTTTGTGGGATTGACAGGGGCAAGAGACGCGAGGCAAATCTTCAACCCTATCCACGACAAACAGACAAAAGAGCAATGTATTCGCTGGCGCTTCATCATTGGACGTCATCACTAACGTTATTACAGCCTACTCTCGAGGATTAAACACACTGGCTGCTCTATCTCGCCGCCTGGCCCTCGCGCAGTCCAGGTCCATATCGTCTTTCCCTCTCCATCAGATCCGCTGTCTTCCCGTTCGTCCTTGCCTTGCTGGGAATTCTGGCCGTCGGACCTTCACTACTTCCCCAAATAATCTTCGACCAGAGGTCATGCTAGCAAAGGCTGCTCAAGAATACAATCCTGTAGTGTCCGGCGTCAAGGGCTCGACATCATCACAGAACTACAATGCCACTGCCAATGCCTTAAAGCCACGATCGTCGTCAATACTCAACACGGTGCATCCCACGCCAAAAAACTCTCTAAAACGTACTGCATCTCAGGCTAATGGTAGAGAGTCTCCATTCAGCAGCCAAGAGCAGGGGTTGAAAAAGGCAATGATGAGCTTGACACAACCATCTACTGGTGGAGGAAGGCTTGACAAGTTACATGATCCGGTCTTCTTCGATGAGAACGATTTCGAGGACGATCAAGATATAGACCTAGACGCGGATGACTCACCAATAGCCAGCAGGTCAATATCCTCAGGTGCTTCATCAAGCACATTGCTACCTGATCCACCACTGAAAAAGTCTACTGCTCCACAGACACCTGTTAGCAGCACGCCTCTGCCTTGGTCCTCTTCTCCACTGTCACACCATCAGATGCCCCCACCAAAACCTCATACGCAAACAGCTGTCACTGCCAATACGTACAAGCGAAGGACTTTGCCTTGGGTAGAGGACGCAAAGAAAGCAGATCAGGCTCGTCGTGAGAAGTCAGATCGTTTCTGTGAGGACTTGACAGGTGGACTTCCCCCAACATCCTCTGAGCAAGCAATCGTAGATCAGAGAAAGGAACGTAAGGAGCGGAAATTGCTGGATCGCCAGTGTGCAGACCTGACTGGAGGGGAACCAGATCCCAACGGCCACGGCCAGAGCATGACTGGAAAAGATCAGGACCTTGAACGCTTCCGCGAAAACATGATTCTAAAGGGGGCGCCAGAATGGGTTGCTGAAAAAGCGATCCAAAACAAGAAGCGGAAGATAGAGACAGCGCAGAACTCATCTGGCACGGCATACACACCATTGCCAAAGGACAAGGCCTATTCACCCTATCCTTGGAATAAGACTGCAAGTGCTGTCAAGGAGGAGCAGAAAAAGATTCGACAGGGCCACAAAAAGCTTGTTAAAGATAACGAAGGAGAGTCTGAAAAATCCAAAATGAAGAAGGGTCGAGAGACTGTAGCCAAAGTCTTCTTGAGTGACGAGCAGAGGTCGGTGTTGAATCTAGTTGCTGAACAAAGGAAGAGTGTCTTCTTCACAGGTTCCGCAGGTACTGGTAAATCTGTGCTCCTCCGTGAGACCATCAAGGTCTTACGCGACAAGCATAAGCGAGAGCCTGACCGAGTCGCCGTCACAGCTTCAACTGGTCTCGCTGCCTGCAATGTGGGTGGGGTCACGTTGCACAGTTTTGCCGGAATAGGTCTCGGGAAAGAAGCCGTTCCTGAGCTCGTGAAGAAGGTTAAGAGGAACACGAAAGCCAAGACGCGTTGGTTGAGAACGAAAGTCTTGGTTGTTGACGAGATATCGATGGTAGATGGCGACCTCTTTGACAAGCTCGAGGCCATAGCTCGCGCGATACGGAACAACGGGAGACCGTTCGGTGGCATTCAGCTTGTCATCACAGGAGATTTCTTTCAGCTACCACCGGTGCCAGACTACGGCAGAGTCTCGAAGTTCTCTTTTGATGCCGCTACCTGGAACACGTCGATTGAGCATACCATCGGATTGACTCAAGTCTTCCGGCAAAAAGACCCAGGTCCGTTACTTGATATACACATTAAAGAAGACCACTGACCGTTCTAGTTTTTGCCAATATGTTGAACGAGATGAGGCTAGGAAGGTTGACGCCGAAGTCAGTCGACGCTTTTCGGGCTCTCAATCGACCGTTAAGCTTTGCCGATGACTTTGAAGCTACAGAGCTGTAAGCGTCTTGATGACTTAGTCTGTTGACATTCTTGCTAATTCTAGAACAGATTTCCTACGCGGAATGAAGTCGAGTATGCTAACACTGCTCGGATGAAGAACCTCAGTGGAAGAGAATTCGAATTCAAAGCAATGGACGGCGGATCCATTGTGGACCACGCGCAACGAGACAAGCTGTTAGGCAATTGTATGGCGCCAGCATCAATCTCATTAAAGAAGGGTGCGCAGGTGATGTTGATCAAGAACATTGACGACACTCTTGTGAATGGGTCTGTCGGGAAGGTGGTAGCCTTTATGGATGAGAAGACCTTTGATATCTATCATGAGGACGAGGACGAATTCCAAGCGGTAGAGACCATGGAATTAAACGAAGGGGAGATGACAGCATCCAGGAAAAAGCTCAAGGCAATGATCGACAAGGACCTTCCGGGCAGCACTAGTCAAAAGTGGCCTCTTGTCCGATTTGCCATTGCGGATGGTAGCTCCAGAGATCTTCTATGTCAGCAGGAATCTTGGAAGATTGAACTTCCGAGCGGTGAAGTTCAAGCCTCTCGAATGCAAGTACCACTGATCCTGGCATGGGCATTGTCAATACATAAAGCTCAAGGGCAAACACTGGACCGCGTCAAGGTCGACTTGGGGAAGATCTTCGAGAAAGGGCAAGCATATGTTGCACTAAGTCGAGCGACTTGTCAAGAAGGATTACAGATCACCAGATTCGACCCGAAAAAGGTTATGGCTCACGATCGTGTACGAACATTCTACGATAGTCTCTACTCTGTCAACAAAGCCACCACTTCACAGAAAGGGGATAGGAATCCCGGGATCTCTGCGAAAGATCATGAGCTGGACTTTATCGATTCAACCTATGGAATCGACCCAGATGAAGAGCAAGCGATGTATGCATAGTGTACAAATGGCAGGGAAAGGAGCGCGTTAGAGTGACGAGCATCTTGCATGCGCAGGAGCATGTCTCCAGAGTATGATAGAGCTTGTGCTTTGCTGTCTTCGTTGTATTTAGCATACTAGCTCGATGCTTTGATCGGCAATATCCGATACATTATGATGCAAATTAAGGTAGTTTAGCGTGAACCGAATAGAAAAGTGATGTTGAAAGATCGGAGTGAAGCCACGCCTTTCCTCATAACATCGATGCTCGAATAAACACTCCTTCCATCCTAACGCCACGTGAATTCCCTTCACCAATGGCTCAATTCGTTGGCCTGTCAGTGCTAGCAACTCTCAGAGAGCCGCCCGCTAAGGTACGAGGTCTGGTCACAGCAGTGGTTGAGCAAAAGTTGACCCTGCACCAAGGTACCTTCCCCGGTCCAGACCTGCGACTTCCCGACATCTACTGACAAGTAGCCATAGTTACTTGGCTCTCTGGTGCATCGGGTCCAGAATCGCTCATCGTACATGGCTCGAATGTGCTAGATGTTGAGATCATTGAGAGTGAGCCAAAGGAAACAGTGCAAGAGACTGAAAAGAAGGATGATTTCGTGGACCCGGCTATTGTTAGCTATGGAAGACCTGAGGGATATTTAGCTCCTGATGCTAAGGTCAATGGAGGCTTTTTGGCTACGAGTCAAACGGCTGTGATTGCTTGCGCAGAACCATCCCTACTAGCAATTTCCCCAGTATCTACGGAGCCAGCAACGACTGGTGCACGAGAGGAACTTCAAAGCCTCCATCCTGCGGTGTATCCAGACACAATCACACCCTCTGCTACGCTTACGGCACCTTTCAACGACCTCTCTCTCAATGGGGATACACATGAGGAGAGGCTAGACCCAGTGGATGGCAAAATTCTGAGGCATCAGGACACGGAGCTGCTAGAATTGAAGGAGGTGGCACAAGGGAGGGCGCCCAATTCAAGAAAGAGAACTCGGAGGTCTGGAGCAAGAGGAGGGTCATTACCCGCTCAAACGCAGGATCTGCCCGACCTGGAACCACACACTACCCCGGTATCGACACAAAAACGGCGCGGAAGGGGCAAGGGCTGGCGGCAGACCCCTCTCCTCGAAGAACCTACAGGCGAAAACCCTTCACCACGGGCAGGACAACGTGGGCAACATCCCCAAAAAGACGCACTTGAACCGGGAACGGTGCGCTCCACCAAACAAACACCAGACCATCCGAAACTCAGACGTCGTCGTTATAGAGAAGAGGAGGATCAG